GGCACTCAGCGCTTGCTGCAGCCGCTCGGAAAGGAGGGGTTTGGCCACCCTCCCAGGTGCATCTTGTCTCCGATGAAGACTCTTCATCAGAGGTCCAAGGTGGGAGGGAGATCCCAGTTGGAGGGTCCCCTTTGGAAAAGACCCCAGGGCTCTAAGCCAAGAGACTTAGTGCCTGCCCTGCTATGGGACCTTGCATAGACCCCTTAACCTCTCTGAGCCATACCATCTTGACTGATCCGTGGATATAATCAAATTTGCCAGTAGGTTTGTTGGGAGCAGAGTGAAGTAATAGGTATGAAAGTGTTTTTTAAAGGGGACTAAAATGCAAAATGGAGACCAGTTAGGTATTAGCTGAAGCCTCAGACATTGACACAGCTGGGGTTACCTCTGGAATGATAAGAATCTAACTGACTTATGGCCTCACACTTTTGTTCAGTATCCTCTAAAAGAATTTTGAGAAACTATATTCTCTTTCACATTTTTGAGTTGACACCTTACATTTTAATTCAATGTTTAAGTAATTACAAAGGGTATAATTTCTAGAGTATTGTGTAAAAAAGAAATGTGGCATTTGGAAATAAAACTGTGAACCCTTTTAAATATATCCAGAATAATCAGAACCCCACTGCTACTTGATATCCGCCATCATCCATTTAAGAAACATATGAACAGGCCCATATTTAACAGTCAGAAATTTTACATCTTTCCTTTTTCTCCTTGAACTCATATTTCCAGTCCACTTCCCTCATAGGATTTTATCCTAATGTAATATATTTTTTATGCTTGAGAGTCTTTTATTGATCACTGTTTCACACTCATCTCCCACAACAAGATGTATGTAAATTGAAATAGAAATTTCTGAAAAATTTGTTGGGATCATAAAGCTCTATATTTTAAAACATTTTTTTCCAGGTCGAGTTGTTATTAGCATACAACTTGCCAAAAACAAATTTAGAGCAATCATAAATGGACAAGTAAAAAATTATCAAAAGTGCACCTTTTCATAAAATGGATAGGGCTTTATTTCTTTTTCAATTGGCTCATGTTTCTGTGAATTAATATTTCTTATATGTTGAATGAGACAGGATTCAGCATTAATTTAATTCCCGCGTTTTGGTTTTCGTAAGTGTTAAGTGCCTAGAAAGCTTGATCACATAAATAAGGAGCCAGAGAGGAGTGGAGTTTTGTATTAGCAGCATCACTCAGTTCTTTTTTATTTTTTTTTTTTGAAGTTTCACAATTTTATTTTTTTAAGTATATTTTATTGATTATGCTATTACAGTTGTCCCATTTTTTTCCCTCCCCTTTATTTCCCTCTGCCCTGAACTCCTGCTCCCTCTAGCATTCCCCACCCTTATGTCGTTCTTGTCCCTGGGTCGTACATGTAAGTTCTTGGGCTTCTCCATTTCCCATACTGTCGGTACCCTCCCCCTGTCTACTTTGTGCCTACCCATTATGCTTCTTATTGTTCCCGGTCAGTAGATCCCCCTACTTTCTAAGTCTGACCCCAACATTTCAGATCATGCCTTTCCTTGGAGCGCTGAGATGACCATCCGCCATGCAGGACACCTCGGTGGGATTAGGTGTCCAAAAGAACGGTCTTGTTTGTAACGTGGGAGAAAGAGGAACGTCAGAGGAGAGGAGGAAGGGAGAACCAGCGGAGTGGGGCCTCCTGCCTGCTGCCAGGGTCATGGTGATTTTAGGAAAAATACTTTGGAAGTTGATCATTGGGGCTTGATTATCTTAAAACTGCCTGTCGTCACACATCTGGAGGGGCTTTTCTCTCTGCTTGGAAGATCCTGGTTCGGGACGTTTGATCTGAGGCCAAGACCCGGAGAGCCTCAGGAAACCTGCTTGTCCCTGACTTACCTCTCCAGGTCCCCTGCCCGCAGCAGGCCCCGGGCCCAGCTCCTGTTCTGTCCTAGAACCAACCAGTGACGCCGCGGCCTCTGTGATGCTCAGAGCAAAGTAGAGGACTGCCCATTACGAGGGGCCACTGCTCTGTCTGGCCCTGCTTGGGCTTTTATTTCTCCTTCACCTGCTCTGGATTTCTGCCTTGTTACGTTGTGTGTGTCCTGAAACGGGCCGGAGCTTACCGGGAGCTAGCTGGGTGCACATGAGAGAGTTGGGGGTTGCTGCCCACGCTCCTTGTCCTCCCGAGGCATCCTGCTCTGCCGCGCCCCCTTCCATGGCCTCAGGGACTAGACTCACCCGGCCTGTCCAGGGCTCTCAGGCAGGGCGCTAAGCCAGGTTCGCTGGCAGGCAGCTGTGGAAGGCGCTGGACGGCACTCTTGATCAGGGCCTGTGGATCCTTGCTGGGTCACTAGTGACAGCAGGATGGGGGAGAGGAGAAGCCTCGCTCCTGGGTGCTGGCGGACCCTGCCAGCTGTTCCGGCCTCTTAATGGTAGACTCTGGGAGTCCTGTGCTGGGGCCAGACATGGTTGGGGGTCCTGCTGCCCTGCAGCGTTAGGGGGCGCCCCATGATTGATGGGGGTCTACGGCTCCTTTGGCATCCTGAGGGGGCCTGGCATGGCGGCACTAGGATGGCTCTGGAGCCTGGTGGGCTGCCTTTGAGCCCAGTTCCTCGCAAACCACTAGCTGAGGAGCCCCAGCCTTGGGCCATGTGTCCCCTTTGAACTTAGCAGCTCATTGTTAAAGTGGGTGTTTAGTTGTCCCAACCACATAGAGACTTCTGGGAAAACAGAGGACAGTAGTGAGACTGGGCTGTCCTCGGTAAATGTTAATGTGAACAAGCACCAACTCTTCTTGGTGTTTCCCCAGAGGCTGATTGTGTGGCGGGTGTGCACGTTGGCTCTGGATCTAGACAGAGCTGGGCAACCCCTGGCAGGATGTGTCACCCCTCTGCCCCTCACTTCCCTCGCCTGAGAATGGGGGTAATAATTGCCTTCAGCTGCTGGGCTGGTGAGGCTGAGCTGAGCTGACGTGTGAGAAGGGTCTGAGTCTGGACCCCCCTCCCACTCGGCGGTGTGAGGTAGGCAGGTTGCTGCACACCTGGCCAGCTTCTGCTTCCTCACCTGTGCACTGAGGTCAGAGGCCAGGCCTGCGCAGCACCTGGTACTTAGTAGAGAGTGACAGTGACGTAGGGCAAAAAAGTAATTGGGGAACACAAGAGTGAGGAAGCATGATGGGCAGGAAGCCAGGCAGTGGGGACAGGGGCTGCCTCAGCTGAGAGTCCTCAGAAGGCCCCTCAGTGAGCATCCATCTCACTACACCAACCTGGGGGACATGGTGGCCATGGAATTGGGTCACTATTACTCAGAGGTATGAGTAGAACACCATAAATGCATTGAGCCCCTCCTTGTGCCAATCATGGAGCTAAGGACAAAGAAATACACCTCTGATCTTTGCCCCCCATGTGTTTATATTCTTCCCTGTGAGACAAGACACATAAAATCCCTGGATGACAGACTGCTAGATTCCACACTGGTGTCAGGATGACGGCATTCCCTGAAGTGTCCCACTGTAGTAAGGTGACGATGCCACCTGTGTGTCGGCTGACTTACATGTTGTACCTCATTAATCCTGGCTTCAGTAATGAGATGTAGGAGGCATAGTCCTGTATTTCAGGTGAGGAAACTGAGGCACAGACCGGAAAAGGCATGTGCCTGATATTAACCAGCTAGGGGGTGGCAGATCTGAGCTGAGAACCAGACTCCAAGCCCAGTGCTCTTTTGACTTAATCTGACACCCCACCCCTCACTGAGCACCTGGGCTCGTGGTGGGAACACTGCTCATGCTTCATTCAGTCTTTACGTCAGTGCTCTAACGTGATCCACCTTACCCCACGAGGTAACCGAGGCCCGGCCAGAAAATGCTAGCGCTGAGACTCCATCTGAACCACTGATTCTCACACCTGGTTGCTGGGCATCCGAATCCCCTGGGAACCCTTTTAAAAAGGCAGATTCCTCGGCCCCCAGCCCCAGCCATTCCAGCACATTACACCTGGAGCAGGGCCAGGGCCTCTGTGTTTGTGCAGGCCCCCTGGCCATTGCGTTGGAAAGGATGGGGCCGAGGCCCAGGAGGTGTCAGGCCTGTGCGAGGGCTGGGCAGAGCCTCCACTCCTGTGACCCCTGCCGGGCCGGATCCGATGGGCTCTACTTGGCCCCTGCCATGGGCCTTCGCCCTGTGCTCTGCATGGTGGGCTCCTCCACCTCTGATCTGTCTGAAATATGCTCACTGGGGGCACTCAGTCCTTTCAGTCTACCTATTCCAGGGAGAAAGGCCCAGCGCAGGGCTGGGGTCAGGTGTTAATACTGTGGTATCTCTGCACGTCTCAGGACATGAGATGTTTCCTCGGCAGAGGAGAGGGGTCGTCTCCTTGTCGGATGCATCTGTAGTAGGCCTTTGTACTTCCTGGGGTTGTGTAGGGCCACACCTACGAGGTAAGTACTTTTAGTTCCATTTTACAGATGAACAGACTGAGGTTTAGTGTGTCTAAGCAAGTTACCCAGGTCCTGCTGTTGGTAAGTGACGAAACAGGAACAGGAACCCAGACGTGTCTGATTCGCAGCCTGTCCTCTTCAGTGTCTGTCCCATCCTGGCCAGGACAAGTAGCTAGAAATTCTTCTAATGCATTTGAATGATGATTTCCTTACATGGTTGCAATTTTATTACTTATTGTCAAGGAGCACTTTTACCTTCGTGTCCTTTTTCCTCAAGGAATAAGTATGAGAGTTACCTAAAGAAGTTGCCTTCTCCATACTGCAGATCTGGAAACTGAGGCCCAGAGATGGCAAATGACTCTCCCAAGGTCACTCAGAGAGGTGACCTTGGCCCAGGCTTCCTGACCTCCAGGTCAGTGATGCCCCGCTGGTCCTTGCTGCCTCTTTGCTTCCTGGGGACAAGACAGCCATTGGAGGCACCCTGCCCCCCTGATGCAGAGTCAGCGGTCCCTGGCGGCATCACCCCGGGTACAGGGGTCTTATGATTGCATGTGTTGGGTGCTAGCTGAGCAGTCCCTTTCTTTCCCATTTTCCAGGGTCCTATGAGTGTGGAATCTGTGGCAAGAAGTACAAGTATTACAACTGTTTCCAGACCCATGTACGCGCACACCGAGGTGAGCTGTGTGTCCCTAGGGCAGAGTTCAGGGGCCACGCCTCCCTGTTTTCTGTCCGTTTTTCCCCTGGGGCCCTTCCTGGCAGACCCCAAGGGAGGAAAGGAGTAGCCTCCTTTACTTGGGAGTGCGCATAGGGGCAGGGGGGCTGCAGGACATGCCACCAGGCTTCTGCTACTAAGGCCCCCTGCCTGCTTTCCGTAGGCCTGCTTCCTCCCAGAGTGCTTCAGTGCTGCTCAGTGTCATCGTGTGTGCTCCCCATGACGGGCCTAGAGTGGGGGCAGGGTGACTGTCTCCATTCGGAAGCTGAGGGGACGGGGACTGGCGCCTGACTCTCCGTGAGCCTGACTGGCAGGGAGGAAAGGCGTTGGGGCAGGGCCTTGACTGACAGTGAGCAGCGTGAGGAAGGCCTGAGAGGCTCAGTTCACCGAATCCTGGATTGGAGAGGCTGTCCCTGTGCATGTCGTAGTGGACTCACCAGCCTGACCATTGCTCCAGTGTACTCACCTCCTCCTCATTCATTCCCTCTCTCCCCCTCCCCCTTTCTCCCCTGTCTCTCCCTCTCTCACAGACACTGAAGCCACCTCAGGGGAGGGAGCCTCCCAAGGCAGTGAGTATTTTCCCCTCCTTGTGGGTTTGGGGGCGGGGATGAGAGAGCCAGGGGTGGAAGGAGGAGACGCTCATCCTCACTCCCTCCCCAACCAGGAGGCCCCAAGTGGCCTCTGAGAGACACTTTATTGTCTAGGCTGCGGATCATATGAGGGTCCTTGTAAAATTGTAACACAATACCTCAGAACAGCCTTTTCCAAAGAGTGTTCTGTGACATTCTCATTCTAGGGGAGCTAATAGGTATTCTGTTGGTAAAGGGTTCTCTGGCCAGGTAACCTGGGGAAACCTTGAGTTCTGCTAAGATGAACGTGTTTGTTGCTATGGACTTCTCATGCCCTTCGTTGGCAAGTTGCACTGGTACCTTCAAGGGGGCCCAGCGTATGCAGTTTCCTCTGTTCTTTTGACTCCCCTCTATGAGTTGGGCTCCATAGCCAATGTTTGGGGACTTCGGCTTCAGAGAGTTATCTCATGAGCGCCCATGAGCACCAGTCACTGGGGTGCGGTATCCCGGAGCCTGGGATGTGCGGGGCCGTGACATCTGGGAACAGTGTTCTGCTTTGCTGCTCACCAGCCCTGCTTGCCCTTCCTCCAGATCTAAAGCCTGGGGCCTGGTAAGCAGCCAGCCAGATGGGAGTAGGCTGGGGTGGAACTGTCCCCGCCCAAAAAGCCTGAGCTCCAGAACCCAGCAGCTCTACTCGCTCCCAGGTGTATCCCAGCAGAAAATGGGTGATCATGTCCACCCTAAGGAGTGAACTGGGATGTTGTTAGTAACACTAGTTGTAACAGCTCCCAACCGGACACCTCCCAAGTGAGTGTCCAGCTAGTTGAAATAATAAGTCACGGAGTGTTCACACGAAGGACTGCAGTGCAGCCATGAGAAGCAGGGACACACACAGCAACGTGGATGACCCACCGATGACAGTAGCAAAGGCAGCCCAACACAAGGGTCCCTCCCCTGAGATCTGGGTACAGGAAGTGCGAAAACAGGGAACATGAAGTTGTGCTGCAAGAGTCAGAATCCTGGTTACCTTTAGGAAGGGGCTCCTGGGTTCTGATATTTGAATTGGGAGCTGGTTACAGAGGTGTTTTAGGTTTACAGAAATGGAACAAGCTGCACACTTAGGATTTCTACTCTTTCGACTTCAGGGCCAGCACACTTGTTTTTTTGTAGGGGACATTACAGTAATCATTTTAGACTTTGTAGGTCACCAGACATCTCTGTCACAACTGCCCATTTTTGCCATGTTGCACGGGCATGAACTCCTGTAGTTTGTAGACATGGCAGTAGACATGTAGTGTTTGTCTACTGCCATGAAAACATTTCCTCAAATAGAAATAAGCATGAGCCCTCCCCCACCCCCCAAAAAAGTCAGAAGCAGGCCCTTAGGGCTAAAGCAGGACCTTACCTGCACTGGGCCTAAGCTCATCCCCTGAGACACTTTCCCGCCCACTCTTTTTGGGTTCTTACCCACGTGGCAGGCAGGCAGGGCTGAGGCTACTCTTTGATTTTCTGGAGGAGAATCCAAGGCTCAGGTTGGCCGACAGCAGCCAGAGGGCCCACGTCTGGGAGGGGGCGAAGGCCTGCCCCTCCTCCCGAGGCCCGCCACACCCCAGCCTGGCCCGTGGCTCCTTCTCCCTCAATAGCTCCCTTCTCTTCCAGCTCCCATGGTCTGCCTGTGGTCAGCCACCCATTTAAAGAACTTCCCCATTTATCTTTCCTTCCTCAGCTATTCTGGGCCCCTGCCCTCTCCGGCACCCCCTCAATGATGTGTTGTGTGCCATCTTGACTTCTGTTGTTCCCGCAGGCCCGTGGTTGTTAAGGACTCTGTAGCCAGGGCTATTTTTAGTCCTTCCATCACTTTTCCCTTCCTTCCTGTGGCATTTTCTTCTCATGGCCAGCGTGCTTTATTTTATTCCCAGTCCTGCAACCTTGCCCTGACCCAGGTCAGCAGTGCCTGCTTAGAAAGTCTGGCGTCCTCACACCCCAGCCTTGTTATGGGAGCTTGGCCATAGAGGCCTGGAGCCAAAAGGTCCTGTTGAGGATAGCAAGTCCAGTACCCATTCTGCAGATGAGAATACTGAGTCCCAGAGAGACGTCATACAGCTTGTTTAGGGATGGAGGTGGGCGTAGAAACCAAGTCTCACACCTTTAGTCCAGGAATCTTTCATTCATTTGTTAGAAAAATTGTAGTCATACGTAGAGGTATCTACCCACTTACTCATCTCTCAATTAAGAAAATAAAAGACTAACTTCACATCCAGTTCTCTCGCTGTTGTCACATTGATTCCCTTAGCATTGTGCTTGTTTATTCTGTGTTACAACTCTGAGAGATGAAGGAACTGTCATTCCCATTTTACAGATAAGAAAACCAAGGGGCGGAGGTTAGGGAGCATGTCGATGTTAGTCGCCCTTGTAAGCTGTAGAATTGGTTTTGAGCTTGGCCTGCCTCCCAGAATGGATTTGCAGTGATCTTTCAGGACACACCCAGCTCTCTTGGAGTTCTGCAACTGTGGTTTCACATTCTTTCCTTAGGGATAACTCTTTTGTCCTCATCTACTCCTGCCTTAGGTGGGTCTGAGAATGTGTTCCCTGTCCCTTTGAGACATAGTGGCATGGGATTCGACATACCATAGTGGACAGGCACTTCTCAGTCACAGAAACTAGGGATTCCTGTTTCATTTGGAGGGGGTGGGCATGGCCTGGCAGGTGGGAGAACCTGTGGGCAGAGACAAGGCAAGTGGGGCAGTCAGCTGCGGAGGGTGGCCAGCACTGGTCAGTATGGGAGAGAAATTTCAGGGGCTGAGGACAACATTCTGTGAGTCCGGCCGCTGACTTTGGATAGACCTAGGGATTATCCAAACTCGGTTGCTGTGTTCATTACCTATTGCTGTGCAACACATTTCCCGAAAACCTAATGAGTTAAAGCCTGTGGTCAGAGTCTGGGTGTGGCTTCACGGGGTCCTCTGGCTCTGAATCTCGTACGAGGCTGCAGTCAAGGTGTCAGCCCAGGGCGTGGTCTCCTCTGGTCTCAATCGGAACGGCAGCTGCTTCCAAAACACTCAATCCTGTGGTTGTTAGCAGGATCGGTCTTTCCCAAGCTCTTGAACGAGGGCCTCGGCTTCCGACTTGTCCCACTGGCTGTTCACCGAGGCTGCCAGGAGGTCTGTGTGGGGCGGCTTACAGAATGCCAGCCAGTGAGAGCGAGATGGTATGAGCCAGATGAAAATCAAGGTCTTCTGTAACCTAACCTCAGAAGTGACATCCCATCACTTTACTGCATTCTCTTCATTAGAAGCAAGTCACTAGGTCCTGCCCAGACTCAAGGGGAAGGGAACACACAGCACAGGAACACCAGAATGCCAGGGTCCTTGGGAGCCATGTCTGAAGCTGCCTGCTCCGGGCCCTCTTAGCTGTGGGGCCAGCTATGACCCTGCCCTTAGGAGCTCAGCTCACATAGGGTAGGATTGCGGGTTGGTTTGAGAGTCACTTCAGGGCTTCCCGGTTTTCTTGTGTAGAGGACCCCTAACACCCCCAGAACCGACTCTCCACGGAGTGACCAGTTGGGGCCAGTCTGAGCTAGTCCCTTCTTTGGTTCCTGAGGCCAGATGAGCCGGCCCCCAAAATCCCAGCCCAAGTGACTGAAGCCCTGGCAACCACATGTTCCCCACAGACAATTTCAGGTACACATGTGACATCTGCGGGAAGAAATACAAATACTACAGCTGTTTCCAGGAGCACCGAGACCTGCACGCAGTGGATGGTGAGTCAGGCCCCACACTCCTCGGGGGCGAGTCACATAAAGGGCCCCCAGCCCCACCCAGGGCTGCTTATCGGGCGCCCGCTCTTCCCTCAGCCCTCTCTCCCTCCTCCAGCCCAGCGGAAGGTCAGGCAGGGGCAAGACCATGAGGGAAGTGGCTAACCCCTGAGGATCCTGGGGGAGAAAAGGTCCCCATCATACTCCATATATACTTCTGATTAGGGTAACCCAAGTGGAATTGCCAGTTTCGTAAATCAAAATCAGTCAAATGCCCGCAATTTCATATCAATTCATTATATGATTTCATATTGAGTATTCATATGCTCTGGTGAAATTAAACCAATTTTTTAAAATGAATGATGGTATTTTAGTGTCTTAGATTATAGAGTTAGAAATTAGAACAATAAATTTAGGTAATTTGTTTTTAGAAACTCAAGAATCCTAGAAATAGGGTCTTGGACCAGGGAAGGATCTCGGGGCTCCCACACCCCCAGCCTCTCTCAAAGCCAGGCTCACCACCTACTGGCTCATCCTTCCTCTCGCCTGCTTTTTTTCCTCTCCTCCTGATGTCTCCCTGGCCCCTCAAGTGGGTGATGGTGATCCAGATATGGCAGACAGAAATGTCTGCCTGTCCCTGCTGGGGCGGGGGCCGCGGGTTGGGGAGGGAGAGATGCCCTCCTGCGGGGGAAAGAGGCATGGAGACACAGGCTACGTCCTGGTTGGCATGCACCATCCTGTGGCCCCTGGCTTTCTGGGGCATCCGTACTAGCCAGGCCCCAAAGGCAAGCTCAGCGGAACAGAGGCTGGGGGTGGTGGGCGGAGGCAGCTGTGGGCAGGGATTAACAGCGCTCCTGTTTGCTTCTTTCCTTCTGTGGCTGCTGCCTCCCGCCCGGATGCAGTGTTTAGTGTGGAAGGGGCCCCTGAGAATCGGGCAGGTAAGTACTTGGTGGCTGGCCACCTCTCTGGTCTCCAGCTGGGCTCCTGAGACCTGGTCACCAGGGCGCTAAGGGCCGTGTGTTCTCCCACAGACCCCTTCGACCAAGGTGTCGTGGCCACTGAAGAGGTGAAGGAGGAACCCCCGGAACCATTCCAGAAAATCGGGCCAAGTATGCGGGCCTCTCCTTGGGGCGGGGGCTGGGTAGGGACACAGGAGGGGGCTGGCTGAGGGAGGCAAGGTGAGTTCTGCCACTGGAAGAGGGTGGCATTGCTCATCCGGCAGCAACGTTTCTGGCCGGTGAGCCGCCGGCCTTCTTGTACCTCACTTTGCCCACCTGTCAGATGGGTCAGGCAGTGTCAGGATTCAGCTTTTGAGAGGCAGCAGGACAGCACAGGGGCAAGGTCAGGGCAGTGCAGGTAGCGCATGCTTGGTGCCCTGGCAGTCTGTTAGCCGTCCTGAGCCTCGGCTCCTCACCTGTGGCATGAGGATGACATTTCCCCACAGGTTTGTTGGGGGATTAAATGAGATCATGGATATCAGTCACCTGTTAATTAGCACAGTGCCTGGTACATAATAGGTGCTCGGAAAATAACTCCTTATTGTCAGCTGAAGGGATTTATCAGCCAGCGAAGCTGTCCAGGGGAACCTCAGGCAGATGCTCCGTCCTTGTCCCAGTAAACCCCTGAGGGCAGGAGCCAGGCACGTGACCTGCCTGTTTCCAGCACACTTGTACTGAGTGTTGTGGGGACGAAGCAGTGACCAAGACAGATGTGGCCCCTCACTTTGAGTAACACATGCAAGGAGGAGGCCCACAGGTCAGGAGACAATAGTTACAGCATATCCAGAAGCACAGGGGGCTGTGGGTGCCGAGAGTACCTGTCCCACCTTGGGAATCCAGGAGGCTCCTTTGTGGGGACCAGATCGGGAAATGAACCCCTGCATCCCACTCGAAGGCAGAAGAGCAGCACTTTTCTGGGAATCGAAAGGCAAATCGATTTGGAGTTCAGATCTTAGAAAGCCTTGAATGCCAGACAAAGTTATCTAGACTTAATCCTGAGTAGAATGTGCTGAGCCTGCGAAGAGTTTACTAAATGGGGAAGGGCCGTAATCCGATTTGCATTTTAGGAAGACTGGTGGTCGGGGTGGGGGGTGTCTCACAAGTGAGACCCATCTGGTCCAGCCCTTCCGAAATGTACATACTTGCTTATTCCTCTCTATACTCCCTGTGCCTGTCTTACTCCCCTGCAAAAGAAGACCTTTATTGACTCTGCCTTTCACAATAAGGATTAAGGCAGCTTGTGGAAATAGACACACACACACAAAGTATGAAAGGATGTGGAAATCGGAGGGAAGAGAAATGGATGGCGTACAGCAGGGAAGCCTGCGGTGCACCTCAGGGGTGGAGCTTGGTCCCAGGCCCTTGGAAGGCTCTGGCTGGGCCCCTGAATGCTTTTTCTCTTTTTTCAAATTTTTATTGTCTATGCTATTACAGTTGTCCCCACGTTCCCTCTTTTTCCCGCCTTTGCCCACTTCCACCCCGTCCAGCCCCCTCAGGCAATCCCCACACCATTGCCCATGTCTTTGGGTCATGCGTGTATGTGTTTTGGCTACTCCCTTCCCCTTCTTTCATCCTGTCCGCCCCACCCCCGCTCCCCTCCAACAGCTGTCAGTCTGTTTCATGTATCTGTGCCTCTTCCTCCTTCCTCATAGGGGATGATTCTCTGCTTTCTCTTTAGTCTTAAAGCACTCAGGAAACTGCAGATGTGATAATATCTGTAAAGTGATTAGCACACTGTTTGTGATATGCATAGTAAACATTCAATGAACAGTAACATCAAAATAATCTTGACGATAAAGAAAATGATGAAATCCTCAACACAAAAACTGCTTGAAGGTAGACTAGAAGAAAACCCTGATGTGAATCAGACATGTTCCATGATGGACACAAGTAGACAGATACAGGACAGGGAGCCGCAGCATAGCACTGCCTGCCCATTTCTTACCGAGCATTGTAATTAGGAAAATCAGCTTCAGAATCCAACAGCCTTAGGTTTGAATACTGGCGTCACCAGTTCACTAGCTGCTTATACTCTCGTGAGTGTCCTCTGACTGATCTGTGCATTGGGGACAAGAATGTCCATCTGTTCTGCAGGATGAATGCATAAAGTGTCTAGCCAGCACCTGGCTTCTATTCAGGGTGTCACAAATGGGTAGCACTGCCAAGAGATAGTTGAGCACGAGAGCTTTAGAGCCATCCCAAATGTGAATCCCAGCTCTACCCTTAATCCCTGTGTGACATCCTGCAAATTCTGTAATCCCCCTAATCCACTGTTTCCCTAATTCAAAAGTGGGGTGATGACAATAAAATACCTTTCAGGATTGTCATGGAGATTAGCTGAGATTATATTTATAAAGGAATTAGCCCTTGACACTTGACATGGAAGCACGAAATAAGTGGTACCTATTAATTACCCAGAAAGGTGCAGAACAAGATGAAACTTGTTCTATGTGTCGGTAACTAAGCTTTACAGACGACCCGTGCTAGGACCTGGGAGGAATTAGCACAGATGACGTAAAGTAGGGAATTGCATTGAGAAAATTAAGCTTGACGTTATGAAAGGGAGGCCACTAGAATAGTGTGAAGCTGTCCCTTGTTACCACTCAGGAACTGCCTTGCAAGATAAGAATGTGACTTCTTGGGTTTCTGCCACTTCTTTTAAGCAGGCCAGTGCCACAGAACCCTAAAAATAATGCGTAGAATAAGAGGAGCCAGTAAAGGCACTGAACACTGTGAAGGGACTAGTTGCCACAAATAGCTATTGTAGGTCAGGGAAGCGGGGGCTGGAAACCTGGTTGCAGTGCATGCTAGGAAGCATGCCTTTCCACATTCACATCAGCTGAACAAATTTGAGGATTGGGGACCTAAGGAGGAAGCCAAAGGCGTGAAGGAGGAAAGGAGTCCTGCCAGAAGGAGCTGGTGTAAGGGGTCCTGTGTGGCAGCTTGCTCTCCAGCTGTAGACCTGAGAATTATTACCATAATGGTCTAGCACGATAATGGGAAGATTCAGAGCAGTTCATTCGTGTCTACTGAAACAGAGTAAGTCTGGATTCGTTTATAGGTTACTTGGTTTTTACGTGTGGATAAGGAAGATTCACTTGAAAAATAAATAAAACAAGCAGTGGGAACTATGAAATTCCATATAACAAGGAAAAGAGAACTTAGGAGACCCGGGGGAAGAGCATACCTCTGAAAATGGTCTACCACAAAATCTGGAAGAAAATTCAGTTTGACAGCCACAATTGATTATATGACCTGTCTTATTCCTCTTGGGCTGCCTTAACAATGGGTGGCTTAACAGAAATTTATTTTCTCATAGTTCTGGAGGCTGGTAGTCCAAGGTCAGGATGCCTGTATGGTTGGGTTCTGTTGAGATCACTTTTGGCCAAATACCATCACATTGGGAGGTAGGACATCAACATCTGAAGTTATGGGGGACACAGTTCAGTCCATAGCATGAACCCTGTGAAAAAGGAGCCTGGAGCTGTATGGTGAAAAAGCAACAGAATAAGATGAAAAGGCAAAGAGGGGCGCAAGATGAGGAAGGATTGCAGAGAAGCTGAAAATACAAGAACAGAACTAAGACTTCGATTAAAGAGCATGTTTTCTGTAAAGAGCAGAGTTGACCTACAGGAATGGAATTAATGATGTGAAGGACATATGTGAACAGATGAGATAATAAGAAAAAAATCATGATAAATATGGAGAATGGGGAAGTAGCTCCAGGTAATTGATGATGAGGTACCAGTGGAATAGAAACAACACGTCATAGATATAATAGAAGAAAAACTTGCTCAGCTGAAGGAAGATCTGTATATGCAGATTTAAGAGCTCATCATATGTCAGGTAGAGTCAATGTAAGGGACCCATAACTAAACAAATCTTAGTGACTTTTCAAAACTATAAATCTAAAGAAAAAAATTATGTGGCCATCTAGAAATAAAAAGAACAAGTTACATACAAGTGAATCCACCGTGGTCATGCCTCAGTCTTCTCTGCAGTACTAAATGACAAAGGTAATGATATAATTTTGAAGGGAAAAGGTTGTAATCTGAGAATTTTATGTCTAGACAAATTGTGGTGTCTGTGTAAAGAAAAAGCCAGGACTCAAAAACATACTGTATCTCCTATGTACTCATCTTCAAGAAATTATTTGAAGTTGTACTCCAAGGAACTGAGTGGTGGAGCACACTTAAGGGCTCAATTATGGGAAATAATTCGCAGTACAAGAGTACTTGTGAATACCAAAGCCAGGTAAACTAGAAGTCAGTTTAAAATATTGTAGATCTGATTGTAAAATTGAGTGCACAAGACAAAGCTTAGAATAAAATAGTGAAAGTGAGTTTTAAAAAATGCAAGATGGAAGGAATACTGGGGGATACAGGAAAGGTTGGTTAAACTAGCCCTCCTCACAGTGTGGTCCCCAGGGCAGCAGCCTCCGTGTCTCCTGGAAGCGTACTCACAACAGTGGATCTCAGTTCCCACACCAGACCTGTGGAATCAGAACCTCTGCGCTGGGCCCAAGCATCCTGGGTTGTAACAAATTCAGGGATGTCTAGCCCGTGGTCCACAGGCCACATGCGGCCCAACACAAAATTGGAAATTTACTTAAAACCTTTTTTTTGCTCATCAGCTTTTGTTAGTGTTTGTGTACTTAATGTGTGGCCCGAGACAACTCGTCTTCTTCCACTGTGGCTCAGAGATGCCAAAAGGTTGGACATACCCCATGCTAAAGTTTGAGGAGCACTGTTATACTCCTTTTCTCAGTGGTAAGAGACATAAACATATCATTTCCTGCTTGATTATAACATTTAGAGGAACACATGTACTGCCCAAAACAATATATTGGAGAAATAATGGAAAGGCAAAGAAAACAGTTTATGCATCAAACAACTGAAGTTTAAGGAAACCAGAAGGGTGGAGCATAAGGGAAAAAAGTCATAACACAAGTTAAACCAAGCCAGTTATAGCAATACGAGAAAAATGGAATGATCTCCTTTATTAGAAGACAAAGATTCTCAGGGTAATTTAAAATAATTCAATTATTAATGGCTTATTAGAGACATACCTAGGTAATTCATTATCTTTTCTCTTTCTGAGGAAATTCTTTGGTGCTTCCTTAACTAAATTGAATTCCCTATTAAAATTTTCTTAGCATTGTAAATGTCTCCTTTAAGAGCACCCACCGTGGTTGCAGCTTTAAGTTTGTATGATTCTGTAATTTTTTCTGTCTCCTTTTCCAGACTGTAAGTGCCTTGATGGCAGGAACCATGACTCTTTTTGCTCCACATTTTGTGCTGGCAGTATTGTTTAACAGATGAAAGTATAGGGAAATGTCTTCAGGCACATGCAAACAAGTAGAAAGGAGGATCTGACAAAGTAATTACGAAGAATTAATAACATTAATGCAGGCGAACTAATAAAACTGTATAATTAAATGTTAGAGCGGTGGTTCTTAAACTTTCCCATGCATCAGAATTTTTGAAGGGGTCTATTAAAACACAGGTTGCTGGAACCCATCCCTGGAGTTTTTCTTTCAATATGTCTTGGTTAAGTCCTAAGAATTTGCATTTGTAACAGGTTCCCAGATGATGCTGATGCTGCTGGCCCCGGGGACCTCACTTTGAGTGAGAAGCACTGTGCCACAGAACAGGGTGATGTTAATAACAAAGGGTCGTTCACAGTGAAGATTTGGATCTCCTGAGTAGACAAATAAGATTATATAGGAATATAATTAATATGGTTAACCTAACAACTTTGAAGCCTACAGATAGCAAATGGATGTTTTTCAGTGTTCATGAATCAGTTACAAAAATTTCAAAACTTCTATATTGAGAAAGAAGAACCATAAACAGGGTAAGAAGCCAATTTAACCAAAAATACTTGTAACTAACATATAAAACAAAATGTTGGTATCCTAATCTACAGAGTTCTTAGCAATTATTTAAAAAAGGTAAGTATGCCTATAGAAACCTTGGTGGTAAACACAAAAAAGTCCTGAAAGAAAAAATGCAATTAAACTTGAGAAATAGTCAATTTCCTTACAACTCAAGGAGGTGGAAAATAAAACCAGCAGTGCGTTATAGTTTCCCCTATCACTCACAGTGTAAGAAGATAATAATACTTAATGTGTGCTTCAGTGTATGGAAACAGTCATTTTCACATCTTTCTGATTGAGACAAAAATTGGCCCAACCTTTTGACAGGTGGTTGGTGCTGTGGTTATCAAAAGCCTTAAAAACACATACCCTTAATTTATCCCATTGGAAATAATGTGAAAAAATTATGCATACTAATCTTTACTTTGCAGTGATGTGCAGAAATAATGAGCAAATGTGCAAAAATCTCTACAGGGATGTGGATCACAGTATTTTTTTATATATAAGGGAAATTTTTTTGAAACAATCTGTCCCCTTGTGTAGGAGACTAGCACAGCAAATTCTAAAGTCCAGTGGGAACCATGCAGCCAATGAATGCAGTAGAGATCGAAGTTTATTGATTGAGCAAGATGTCCACAAAGTATTGTCGATTGAATGCACCAGGTTACAAAGAGGATATAGATCAGGGCTGCTAATTCAGGGCCCGCAGGAGCCAGACAGGTGATGTCAGTATAATGGAAGTGAGGGGTGGGGTCTGGGGTACGTTGCAAGGTGCACGTTTACCCAGGGGGTAGCTGCTACTCTTTGTTTGGGGATTGTAGATGATTGAAATTTCTCATTTATTTTTTTAAATTTTGTATTTATCAGTATTTTATAATTTTCCCCCAGTGAACAATATTACATCAGAAATTTTTAAGAAGAAAGAAGTTAGGCAGACCCAAAAGAGAGGTAAAAATAAAGTCTGGTGGGACCTGAGAGGAAGAAGTGACCTCTTCTGCTGGGGGGTGGGAGGGGTGCTTGGGGGCAGGGGAAGGTCCTGGAGCTGAGGGAACCCAAGTGTGGCCATTGCCGAGGGCAGGGCAAAGGGGCTGATAGAGAGGGTAGCGCTGGAGGTCAGCCTGGGTCGACACATTTCCTGAGCACCGGGGCCTGGGGGTGGAGCGATGAAGGAGAACAGCGTGTGCCAGGTACTGTTCTAAGCACTTGACATATAAATTTAATCCTCACAGCAATCCTATAAGGTGGTCCTATTATATTATCCCCGTTTTACAGATAGGAAAACTGAGGCACAGAGAGGTTAAGAGATTTGCCCAAGGTCACACAGCTCCAAATGGCAGAGCTGGGGGACTTGAACTCAAGTAGTAGTTGATTCAAGTGGGCTCCCGATTCCAGTTTGTTGTCCCAGAATGAGGGGGAGTTTGGGGGGCAGGAGCACGCTGCTGCTTCTGGATGGGAGCTGAGCGCCTAGTCCCACACTTTCTTTTCCTTCTTGGACAGAAACCGGCAATTACACCTGTGAATTCTGTGGAAAGCAGTACAAGTACTACACGCCCTACCAGGAGCATGTGGCCTTACACGCCCCCATCAGTGAGTACCTTTTGGTGTTGGGGAAGGGGTGGGCCTTCCACAGGCCCAGGCTCTGGGGCGTTGCTAGAGGAGGGTGAAAGTAAAGGTGAGCTTGGTCTGGGCCTCTCTCGTGTCCAGTTGTGCTCTGGGGCCGCCTTACTCCAGTAGCTAGAATAGGTGGGAGAGCCCCACGCTTAAGCCGGGAAAGCCCGAATCCTCCCTCGGTGGACTCAGGGTGGGTACCACTCATCCAGGTCCTTCAGTGGTCCTGTCCCCACCTCTTCTAAGCACCTCCAAATCATGCTTTTGAATCCTCACCCCCAAAGCCAGCAGAACGGGACGCAGCCTCGGTCTGAACCCATGCAGAACCTAACCCAGGCTAGGCAAGGCCAACCGGCGGGCAAGCTCCCTGTGTGCCCTGAGCGGTGGAAAGGGCAGGGAGCCGGAAGGGGTGCTCACCAGGGCTCAGAGCCTTGGGTGTCAATCCCAGTGGGGTCATGGGCTTGCCTGGCCCGTGGCCTGTCTCGGGCCTCCAGTCTCTCCCTCCTCACCTGACCCAGAAGGGAAAGGGTTCTAAGGACACTTCCCACAGGGACACAGTGGCCTTCCATTCTCCCGATGCTGCTGATTTCCCAGCTCCACTTTTGGGTGTTAGAGCGGCTCCCTCCTGCAACCCCAAGCATACAATGAGCTAGGAGGCCCTCAGTCCTCAACCACGTCCTGACAGGGGCGGGACTTTAGCACCTTGGTAGAGCGGACGTTTAGGGGTGGATATGGGAGTACCCCTGCTTTTGTTTGTCCCGATAGAGCTGTGTGGACCCCACTCCACACTCTCTGGATGGGGAGGCTTAGGTCCAGAAACAGGGAGGGGTTATGCGAGGTCAGCAGGGGGTTCAGATGCCTACTGTCTGGGGAGGCCCATGACGCTTGGGAAGCCCTGATAATAGCAGCACAGGCACATGGCCCCCCGAGGGCATTTGGGTAGGCGGGAAGGTGTCCAGAGCTTAGAGAGCAGTGCAGGCAGCTTCCCCAGGAAGTCCTCCCTGCTGGGCAGAGCAGCAGAGGCTAGGGGTCTCCCGTGTACGAGAGCTCCAATCCGAGGTCCCTAACTGGGTTAGACTTCTTGTCCCACTCAGCCTCTGACTGGTGGGTGACCTTGCGCCTGTCACTTCCCTTCTCTGGGCTCAGGTTTCCCATCTGTACAAGTTCTTGAGGGCTTTCCAGCCCAGGGGTCTGGATTCTGGGCCTCTCCAAACCCCCTAGTTGGTTGCCCAAATAGAGGAACCCATCCTGCCACTGAGGCTGGGGGTGTACAGCTCATCCATTTCCCACCACATGTTTGGGTCCTGTGCGGTGGCGGGGGCAGAGGGGAAAGGACACAGTTTCTGCTTGGTAGGGACGACCCATCCATTTGACCCACTAATAGTGCTGGTGCTGTCATCAGGGCTGTGGCTGGGCTTGAGCTCCATGGCCTGGACCCTCTGGGGTTTCCTCTCTCCATGGGCCGGGACTGGCAGCTGTGTGTGGGCATCTGCCCTGCTACCTGGAGAGGATGCTACCCAGAATGCACTTAGGCATTAGTTACAAGGCCTTTGCAACTAACCTTTGTTAGTTTCAGCCCGGCAGAGGTTTCAGCCTTTGGAGGGTGCCTTCAGTGCTGCTTCTGCTCTTCCCCCAAACTCCTGAAACAAGTTGAGTACAGTCATGGAGTCAATAAGTGGAGGGGGGGCTTGGCTTTGAACCTTGGAAGGCAAGCTCCCTGCCCATTCTCTTAACCATGAAGCACATGCGATGGTACAGCATGAAGGGCTCCATTGCTTGCACCCTGATTTCTTCCTAAACTTCTAGGGGCTTTTCTCCTGAAAAGCTGTCCATGGTTTCTCTGTTTCTCATCATCTTTTTCTGTCTGTTACGGACTCTGATTTTATGTCTTTCTGCATCTGTCTGTTGAATAAATCTTTCTTCTCTATTATTCACTGCAGTCTGAGGACTCTAGGGTCAGCTATGTTTAAATTACAACATGAGAGATTTAGGCCAGATCCAAAAGAGGACTGATTTTCCAAGGCTGACGAATGGCCCCTCCAGTGGCCTTTGGATCCAGAGATTTGTATGTCCGTGGATTCTGTGTGGAATTAGTGTCTGGATTTGACAGCTTCAAGTGGTGCCCAGGGCCAGGCCTCGAGAGGCCCTGGGTCTGGTGAGAATGTCCAGAGGGACCTAGGCTGACTGCAGAAGTTCTTACAAATGGAGTCATAATACGTACTCTTTTGTGTCTGGCTGCTTTCACTCAGCAAAATATTGTTGAGATTCATGCATGTTGTCATATATATATCAATTATTCATTCATTTTGACTACTGAGCCATTGTATGAAAAAATACCAGTTTTTTCAGCCATTTGCATGTTAATTTGAGTTGTTTCCAGTTTTAGGCTATTGTGAATGAAACTGCTATGAAAATGCTTGTACAAGGCTCTTTGTGGACATATGTGTTCATTTCTCTTGGATAAATACCAAGGAGTAGAATTGCTAGGTCATAGGGGAGAGTATCTTACCCTCCCAGCAGTCACAGATTCCATGTTCTTGCCAACATTTGGTGACAATGGGCTATTTAATTCTAGTTATTCTAGAAAGTGTATAGTGGTATCTCATGTTAATTTGTATTTTTCCTGATGACTAATGATGTAAGCATTTGTTTATCGGTCATTTGTTTATTTTGCTTTGGAAACTGTTTAAGTCTTTTGCCCATTTTTTGGTTGAGTTGTTTGTCTTTTTATTATTAAGTTGTCAGAGTTCTTTATATATTCTAGGTCCAGGGCCTTTATCAGATACACATATTGTAAATATTTTCTCCCAGTCTTCGGTATGCCTGTTGATTTTCATACAGTATCTTTTTTGATGAGCAGTTTTTCATTTTGATGACATCTAATTTATTAATTTTTTCCTGTGGTTGGTGCTTTCTGGGTCCTACCCAGGATATTCTTGCCTACCTCAAGATGGTGAAGATACTCTCCTCTTTATTATCTGTTAGAAGCTTTATAAATTTCAGCTTTTGCATTTAGGCCTGTGATCCACTTCAAGTTAGGAGTTTATGAGAGGTATGAGTTGAGATCCATTTTATTCTATACTGACATCTAGTTGTTCCAGCATCATTTGTTGGAAAGATTACTTTTTCCTCATTATGTTGCATTGGGACCTTCCTTCAAAATCAATTGAATATATAAGTGAGTTTATTTCTGTCCCATTGATTTATTTGTCTGTGGTCTCATTTACTGGAGTTTTATAGTAAGCCTTAAATCAGATTCTCTCAGTTTTTCACTGTTGTCCTTTTTAAAGAAAACCTGTCTATCCTAGGAACTTCGTTTTTCCTTATAAATGTTAGTCTTCCTGCCATTTTCTACAAAATATCTCACTGGGATTTTGTTTAGGATTATACTGAATCAATAGACCAATTTGGGAAGAAGAGACATAATAATATTGTTTTCCAGTCCATGAAGATGGTATATCTAAATATTTTTGTCTTTTAATTTCTATCAGCAGTAATTGGTACTTTTCAGCATAGAGGTCTTACATATATTTTGTTATATTACCTCTAAGCATTTCATGTTTTTTGACATTACTGTGTTATGTACATGTAAACACAATTGCTTTTGAATATTGAATTTGTAACCTGCAATGTTGCTCAATTCACTTATTCTTATAGTTTGTTTTTTTTTGTAGATTCTTAGGATTTTCCTTGTACATACTGATGCCCTCTACTAATAGACAGCTTCATTTCTTTCCAACCTATTCTTACTATTTTTCCTTCCTTACCATACTGATTAGAATCCTCCAGTACTATGTTGAATAGATGAAATGAGTGGATATCTCTGCCTGTTCCCAACTATAGGGTTCAGTTTTTCATCATCAAGTATTGTGTTAGCTGAAGTAGGTACCCTGTGTCAGCTGAGGAAGTTACCTTCTATTCCTAGTTTACTGAAAGTTTTTATTATAATTTGGTGTTCCATGTTTTTTCCTTACATCTGTTGAGGTGCTTCTATGATTCTTATCTTTTATTATGATAATGTGATCACATGGATTTTTGTTTCTTTAATAAGTCACTATGCCTATACTTTATTAAAACACATTAAGACTCAGTCAAACTGGAGAAGGTTACAATGTTGGGATACTTCTTTTTTGTCAGAAAAATGACTTATTTCTTTGAAGCTTCTTTTTCCTGAGTAGTTATTTCAATTACTTTAAGACCTAGGGTAGTTTGTAGAGTTAATTTGCTTTCAAGAACATGTTTTCTGATTACCTTACTTGAAATTCCCCAGAATTTTACCTGGATTTTAATACCACTCCCAAAGCAGATCCCTTAGAAACTGGAGAACTAGGATTAGCAGAGTGCTTTATATTCAATTAGTGGTTTGTTAATGATGGTCATAATTTTTTATATATAGATTTTAAATAAAGTGCCTGTATTTAAAGTGTGCAGTTTGGTAAGTTTTGACCTGTGTGTGCACCTATGAAACCATCATTATAATCAAGATTATGTACGTACCTATCATTCCCATAGTTTCGTTGTGCCCTTTTATAATACCTTGCTCACCACTTCCCCATTCATAGGCAAGCACTGATCTGCTTCCTATCGCTTATAGATTACTTGGCATTTTCTAGAGGATTGCATATGTGAAATCTTACAATATGTACTCTTTTATTGTGTGTGGTTTTGTGTCTGGCTCCTTTCACTTACCACAAGTGTTTTAAGATTCATCTGTGTTTGCATGAATTAGTACTTCATTCCTATTCGTTGATAGGTACTGGTATTCCAGTGTCTAGATACAGTAAGTCCTCACTTTTAAGTCGTCAGTAGGTTCTGTAATTTTAAGTGACGGCATATAACAAAACCAGTTTTACCATAGGCTAATTGGTGCAACAGGAGTTAAGTTCCTACAACATCTCATTGATGTTATAATGAAAGGACAATGAACGAAATTACATTATTTGAGGACCTACTGTGTAGATAGCACTATTTCCCGTATTCACTTATGGATGGACATTTGGGTCGTTCCAGTCTGGAACTAATACAAATAAAGCTGCCGTGAACACTTCAGTATATGTCTTTGTATGGACAGATGCTTTCATTTCTCCTGGGTAAATACCTGGAAGTGGAATGGCTGGATCAGATGGTCGGTATGTTTAACTTTTAAGCAATGGCCAAATTATTTTCCAAAGCAATTAGGCCATTTTACATTCCAACCCACAGTGTACGTTTCTTCTCATGTAATGTCTTTTTGTCTAACTTAGTTATGAGAGTAATGCTGGCCTTATAGAATGAATTGAAAAGAGAATTCCCTGAGTTGAGTGTTAATTAGGTTACATTGATTGGTCATACTGTTCAAATCTCTAGACTTTTTCAGGCTTAAAAAAAAGGCTTGTTCTGTTGAATACTGAGAGAGAAGAGTTAAGGTCTACAACTTTAATTGTAAATATGCTGTTTCTCCTTTTAATTCTATCAGGTTTTCATTCATGTATTTTGAAGCTTTTGTTTTTCTCTTTTTAGGTGCACACACTTGGGATCATTATGTCTTGATGAATCGATCCTTTTAAAATTGAGTAATGCCCTTTTTATATTGGGTGATACTCATTGTCTGAAATCTGCATATTCTGATATTAATATAGCTACTGCAGCTTTTTTAGGATTAGTGTTTTCATGGTATATCTCTTTTCATTCTTTTCTTTTAATCTACATGTGTTTTTATATTTGAAGTGCATCCATATAGCTGGTTCTTACTCCTTTATCTAACCTGGGATTCCTGCCTCTTAAAGATTTTTTTTTAATTAATTTATTTACTTATTTTTTTAGAGAAAAGGGAAGGGAGAGAGAACAAGGGGAAGAGAAACATTGATGGGTTGCCTCTTGCACACTTCCACCCAGGGACCTGATCCACAGCCCAGACATGTACCCTGGCCGGGAATTGAACATGCTACCTTTCCGTTTGCAAGATGACACCCAACCCACTGAGTCACAGCAGTCAGGGCAATCTCTGCCTTTTAAATGAAGTTTTTAATCCATTTACATTTAATATATTTTTATATGGTTGGATTTAAGTTTATTGTTGTATTTCTGTTTGCCTCATTTCTTATTGTTCATTTTTTTTGTCTTGCCTTCTTTAATATTAATCAAGAATTTAAAAAATTTTCTCTATTAGCTTTATACCTATACCTCTTTTTCTTTAGTGATTGCTCTGTCGTTTATAATATGTATCTTTAGTGTATTAGTCCACCATGAATTTATATAACATATCACACATAATGTGAGAACGTTATATCAGTATACTTCCATTTACTACTCCCCTGTCCCTTGTGCTGTTCTTTCTTATATCATACAAATAAGTCTTAATATCATACATATATATCATACATAGACTTGCACATATAAGTCTAAATAAGTTATAAACCCAGCAGTTATTCTTTTTTGCTTTAAACGGTCAATTATTTGTTACAGTAATTAAGAAATGAGAAAATACTTTTTGTATTTACTCACATATTTACTATTATCTGTACTTTTCTTTGTATAAATTTTAATTTCCTTTATTCCCTGAAGTACTTTAACATTTCTTATATTTTAGGTCTGTTGGTGAAAAATATTCTTAACTGAGTATGTTTTTATTTTACCTTTTGAAGGATGTCTTCTCTGGATATGAAAGTCTGGGTTGAGAATTTTTCCCAGCACCTTACAAATGTCATTCTTTCATATCCTGGCTTATGTTGTGTCTGATGAGAAGTCAAAGACCGTTCTGATTGTTATTCTATACTTAATATATCTTTTTTCTTTGGGTGATTTTAAATATTTTTCTGTATTACTGGTTTTAGTAATTTGATTAGGGGTGTGCAGTTTCCTTTGGGTTTATCTTGCATGGGGATCATTGAGCTTCTTGGATCAGTGGTTGATATTTTTCATCAAGGAAAATTTTCAGTCAGTATTTCTATATGTATTTTTCTTCTCTCGATTTATCTGTCATCTCCTATTGAGACTTTCTTTATGTGGAAGTTAGATTGTTGGATGATGCTTAAAGATCAACGAAGGCACTGTTCAGTGTTTCAGCCTTGTTTTCCCTCTGTGTTTCTGTTTGGATTGTTGCAAGTACTCGGTCTTCAAGTTTACTAATCTTTTCTTCTACAGTGTCTTAATTTTTTTCCATTAGAAATATCTATCAAGTAAATTTTTCATTTCTGCTGTCATATTTTTAATTTCTGTAATTTCCACTTGGTTCCTTTTTACATCATTTCTTTCTTCATGATGTTCATGTTATCCTTTAAATCTTTGAGCATATTTATAATAGCTGCTTTAAAGTCCTTGTCTGCTAATTCCATTATCCCTGTCATTTCCTTTTGTTTCTATTGACTGTTCTTTTCCTCTTGCGTATTACTCACGTTTTCCTGCTTCGCTTGATGAATATCTATATTTATTCTGTGCTGCGCATTGTGGATGCAGTGTTGCTGAGTGTCTGGATTTTGTTATCTTTCTTTGAAAAATGTTGAATTTTGTTCTGGCAGGCAGTTAATACAGATTTCCTTGATACTTCAAAGGCTTGTTCTTAAGCTGTGTTGGTGCAGGTCTGGAGTACAGTAACCCCTTCTTATGCCCAGTTTAACTTTTCATGGTTTTAGTTACCCACAGTCAATCGTGGTGTGAAAATATTAAATGATGCCCTGGCTGGTGTGGCTCAGCAGACTGAGAGCCGGCCTGCGAACCAAAAGGTCGCCAGTTTGATGCCCAGCCAGGGCGCACAAGACTGAGCCTTTCTCTTGCACATTGATGTTTCTCCTTCTCTCTTTCTCCCTCCCTTCTTCTCTCTCTAAAAAATAAATAAATAAAAATATTCAATAAAAGGAAATATTAAATGGAAGATTCCATAAAAATGCAATTAATAAGTTTTAAGTTGTGTGGTGTTCCGAGTAGCATGATGGAATCTTGTGCCATCCCTCTCTACCCCTCCCAGAATGCGAATCATTCCTTTGTCCAGCTTATCTGTGCTGAATAACTTCCCACCCCTTAGTAGCCATCTTGGTCATCAGATCAATTGTCACATTACCACAGCGTGTGTGTTCCAAATACGCCTTATTTTAATAATGGCCCCAAATGCATTCACACACATTTTATTACAGTATGTTGTAGTAATTGTTCTATTTTATTATTCTTGTTGCTAATCTCTTAGTGTGCCTAATATAAAAATTAAAATTTATCACAAATATGTATGCATAGCAAAAAACATAGTATATCTACAATTCAGTACTGTCCACGGTTTCAGGCATCCATTGGTGGTCTTGGAATGTATCCCCCTTGGATCAGGGGGTACTGCTGTAGTCTTTATGTCAGGGTGAGAATAACCCTTCTAATGCATGGCTCTTCTGGGTCTCAACTGAATGCCCAGGCTATTCCGCAACGTCTTCTTTCTGGCAGGTAGAAATTCACACATCCTCTAACCTTGTGCACCCTCTGAATTCTGACTTAGCCCACAGCCCCCCAACAGCTGTTGGCAGCTGGGCTTTGCAGAGGATCTCTCTGTGCAGATCAGTTTGGCACTTAGCCAAAGACTTTGGGAGTCCCTCTGCACGTTTCTGGAGGGTTGGTTGGTGGTGGTGGGGGTGGGGGTGGGGTTTTTTGTTTGTTTGTTTGTTTGCCTGATTCTCTCCTTTGTTATTCTGCCCTGCAACTTCCGGTTGTCTTAGAAGCCCTGGTCTCTGATCACCGCCTCCTCCTTTCAGGGCGATTACAGCACTTCCTCTGGGCTTCACCGTTGGGCTGCAGCCCAGAATGTCTCTGCGGGCAGAGAGCGGGAGTGTCACAGAGGTCGTGGGAGGTCTCCTTTCAGGATTTCGCAGTCCCTGCACCTCCTTCTGTTCAGGGCCTGAAAGCTGTTGTTTCATGTATTTTGTCCTGCTTTCTAGTTGAATTTGGAGGAGGGCTAGTCCTACACCAGTTGCTCCATCGTGGCCAGAAACATAAGGAGTCCACTTCTCTTCCTAAGACCAAAATCCAGGAGGAGGGTTTCCCAAATGAGACTCTCTTGCAGCTTGTCTCCCATTCATTTCCACCAGCCTTTGAGTACAGCGCTCCCATCTGCCGCAAATTCATTCTACCCCCACCCTCACCTAGTAAAAGTTTCAAGGGAGACTCCCGCCCCATCTCTTCTTCCTCTTGGTGGCACGGTTAATTTTTTTGAATCCTTATATTCTCTGAATGTTCTGCTGCAGTTAAACTTTAAACTTTACAGAAAGGAGGGACCGCTGTGTTCTCTTATTTTTAAATATCTCTCATGTGTAAATATCTCATGTATTTCTTACAAGAGCAATCAGCCATTCTGTCTGAAACTCTTCCCTTCCTGGTGAAAGCCCAGATAGGGATTCCCGTCTGATAATATTCCCTATGAGAAGGTCAACAGATGGTGCAAAACTATTGAGTGAAATGAGTTCGGAGCCTGGGAGATCCGTCCTGGCTCAATCCCAAACTGCTCTGTGCCCTGGAGTGGTGCCTGGACCTCTCCAAGCCTCTGCATCCCTGTCTGCCTTATACCCTGGGGGCCAACGGGAGGATAACATGTGAGATAGGCTTCCCTCGAGGAGAAGCTGGGAAAGGTTCTAGGCTCCCGTACTTTTTCTGTGGACTGAAAAGAGGTTTCAGCCCTTGAGCATGGGGGTCTGTGGCATGAGAAGCCACTTACTTGGCCAGCTCCAAGAGCTCTTGGGGACTGAGAGCGTGACCCTCTCAGGTACCGCCCCCGGGTGGGAGCCACCGGACGATCCAGACACGGGCTCTGAGTGTTCACATCCAGAGGTATCCCCGTCTCCACGCTTCGTGGCCACGAAGACCCAGACGAACCAGTCGGGGAAAAAAGCTTCGGCCTCTGTGGTCCGATGCTCCACCCTCTTACACCGCACCCCTCCAGCCACCCAAACCCAGACGTTCCGCACTCCAAATTCAGGATCTCCGGCAAGCAAGGCAACCGCAGGTACCAATGGCCTCTGTCACCCCACAGTTCCTCCACTCCCTACCCTTCACCCACCTGCCACAGCTGTGCCTGGGGTCATTGTTCCCTTGCAAGAGCAAGAGTGGGGGTCCCATAGTTCCCTGGGACGAATCTGGGTCCAAGCTGTGCTTCTGTCTGGCCCTGTGGCCATGACGAGCCACCTAACCTCTCTGAGTCTGTTTTCTTATCCTAAATCAGAGGGTTGTACAAGATGGTTTACAAACTGTTTTTTAAACAGGAGACTATTTTTTCCAAGTTATGGCCTAAGGTGTTTTTAAAAAATGTTTTTAATTACTTGCCAACATTCGAACCTTAGGAAATTTTATGTAAAACTTGATTCTGAGCTGACCTTGACAAGTCAGATCTGGCAGTTCTGGGCCCACGTTCCTGCAGGGCAACAACTGGCTTGGGGCCAAGCCACAGCTGCCTCCTTCCATAGAGCATGTGCTCTCCAGTTGTCCACAGTCCCCACCACTCCCTCCTGCCTACTCAACACAGTAGCCACGTGGCAGGTGGCATTTCTCATTGTGATCACACTGTTGTCTGTCTCACATCCAGCCCAGCTCATCCATTTATGTCACCTGCCTGGACCCCCTCGCCCCTCGCCCCTCGCCCCTCGGCATGAATTTGCATCCCCCAATCTGAAACCTCATTTCTATGAAGAGCTTTCTCCTTGAAGCAGAGTGGCTGACCTGGAACTCTGTTCTCTCGGCCTCCCTCTACCTAATACTACCCGTGAAATCGCTCCATGCGCCATAGCCCAGCAGGAAACCAGCGGATGCCAGCTCCTATGTTTCCGAGTCCGTGCAGAGGGGTGCTCAGACCTCAGAAGGGCGAACAGGCAGTAATAGGTTCACAGCAGCATTTCTCCCAGGAAAACTGATAAGACGCATTGTGTGCCGCATACCAGATACCAGGAATCCTGATTCATAACTGGGTGGAACGAGCTTTGGGCCACGTGACTGGATATGGGGGGCGGGGCTATAGGGTAGAATGATGATGTGGTCCTTCTGGAACCATGAGGGCTTTCCAGTTACTTTCAAGAGGCCCACAGCCCTCAATTAAATATACAAGCGATCAAACTGAGTTCAATGAACCAGTCAATTGGACTGGTGATATAGCCAAGTGACTAGTTGTGTCTGCCATTACTCTTTGGTTCAGGGGGGTACTGTTGGACAAGGATATGGTTCTTAAAAACGTTTGAAGACATTATGCTTAGATGTCCCAAAAGGAAAGTAAGTACTTAACCTTGAATGTAATGGATTTTCAGGTACTGTGTTGAGAAAAACCAATAGCCATTACATTTTTCTAGAAATGGACCGATCATCATAGGCTGACTGGTGGTAGATGTTGCCTCAACTAAATAATGGGATCATGGTTTCAAATGTTACTTTTCACTCCAGACCTTGTGACTGGGAGTTTTTACATCTGTAGTTTCTGCAGGGAACTGCTTGGAAGGGGCTGTGTGGCCTGTATCAGCTCTTGGACTTCAGTGTCCCCAAGTAAGCATCCAGCAAGCTATGGAACTTGCTTCTAGCTGCCTTTATGTGACCTGGAAGACTTTGGGTTGGGTTTACCAGGTACATGTGGGCAGAGCTGCAAGTCGTCGTCACCTTCACTGTGCTGGAATGGGCAGCCCTTCTTGTGTGGGTGTGCGGGCCTGTGCGTGGGACCTCGCCTACGCTATAGCCCCACTGGTTTGTGGCCAGAGGTACCTGTGGCAGAGAGAACTGATCAAAATTTGCATTGGGAACTGAGTTAACAGGAAACTATTACCTTAGTTGTCCTAAGTTCTACCAGTAAGTGGGTTAGGCTGAACAAAAACCCTCTGCAGAGGGGTCAGCCTCCCCCTGCACATACAAGGATCAAGATGGAGAAAGGACTCGCTTGTGAAAAAAGAAGCTTCTGCCTCAAGAACAAAGTCTCCTCGTTCTGCCGTCTGAGAGGGTTAGCAGCATGTTCAGCCCCAGGAACTTGCCAACCTCACTGTCCTCTCTTTTTCTTTTTTTTTTCCTACCTGTAAAATGGAAGTGACAGAGGGGGCCTCACAGAGCTATTGGGAGGATTAAGGGAGAACGTGAGTGTAAGGCGCCTGGAACAGTACCTGGCATGCAGTAGGTGCTCAGTAAATGAGCTCCCTCCCCCTCAAGCAAAGAATTGAGGGTCGGTCTTTGCCAATTTAAAGATGACACCTTGAAGGAAGCAGACATGCAGCTCTCAGCCCAGGCGTTCTGCAGACACGAGAGCCTCATCCCTGTGGCGGTGTAGGCAGCCTCTGTCAAAAGGCGCTGCAGCGGGAGGCATTTGTTGGGGCCGGGGGATGGGGCGGGGCCTGTAGGGGCTGCCTCTGGCTTCCTCTCCCGTCACCCCAACAATCGTCCGGAACCCTGGCCCCCACAGTCAGAGCACTTGCTCTGCTGGCAAGGGGCGGTGGACTGGGTGATGATGGCATTTCCCAAAGTGGGTTCCTGAAGTCACCATTTTTCAAGGGGTATTAAGGAATCCGATACTTAACAAAATAGGCTTTGGTGGCTACATTTGTTTGGGATGGCTGAGTTAAATAAAAGAAAATGGGCCTCTTTTCGGTTGAACTTCTCAAGAGCCTTTGATATCCCTGTGCAAGTTGTTTCTCTTTCTCCTTAACGAAGGGGCTGGGCCAGCCGCTTATTCCAAAGTGACTTGTTTCCAGAAGTCTTTATCTCCTGGAGCGTCCGACATCCCCATTGTGCCAAGAGCTACTTGGAAAAGTCGAGTCACCTTCCAGCTTGGATGCTCTGTCTCAGTACCTTCTGCAGCTGGGGAGGGGGGGAGGGGGGGTGGGCACTAAATTGGTGTTTTTCCACCGCTTGGAGGCTATCTCTGCCCCCCACGGTTTCTGGACAGTGCCTGGGAGAGGGTGAGTCACTGCGAGTGCCACCTGTAAGTGGAGACGCCCAAGAAGTCACTCAGGAGCTAGTCCCTCAGACTCACCTGGTCTCTGGCCTCCTGAGGGGTGGGGCTGCCCCCACTCTGCCTGGCTCACCTTCTCTCCAGGGCGCCTCCTTGCCGCCCAGGGACCGCTTGGCATGTGGAGCTGGCATTAGCTGTCTGGCCCACGTGCTCTGCCAGGAGACAGTCTGTCATCCTGCCTGCTCTGTTGTGGGGCCAAGACAGCAGAATCTGGCATAGGAACTAGCAGGGGGGTGGGGGGGGGGCAGGTCTAAATTACTAAGTGTCACAACTGTGGCTCCCCAGGGGCCACTGGTGGGCGACTCAGGCCCATTTTCCACCTGCTCTCTTGGCTGGATTTCATCTGTGTGCTCTTGGGCTGGTCGCCCACACATCTGCCCCCCGCCATGCCTGGATCTCCACCCCCTCTGGGCACTTTTAGGGGGGTCTCCTGGGGCCCTAACAAGGTGTCAGGCAACTCAGGTGAGCTTGAGGATCTGGGAGTTCTGGTTTAGGGCCCTGGGCCCTCCCTAGACCAGAGGCTTGGGCGGTGCCCAGGTATTGCAGCCTCTGAGCCACCTCTGGCTTGCCCTCTGCTTTGGACCTAGTGCTGATCAATCACCATTGTTTTCTCTTGCTCTCTCCTGTCCCCACCCAGCAGAAAGCGCTTTCAGTCGGAGAGTAGAAAGCAAAGCACAAAACCACTTTGAAGAGACGAATAGCAGTTCCCAAAACTCCAGCGGTGAGTGTGCCCTGTGACAGGTGTCCTGTGCTGAGGCCACTGTCTCCATCTGCTTCCACCCGCAGTGGCGGCGGCAGGTGCTCTGTGGTTGGGGTCTCCGTGAGGTGAGACGGTGGTGTTGGGAGGAGGCTGCGAATTAGGAGGAGGCCAGGCAGGGATGGGCAGAAGCCCAGGGGCCTTTTCTTCCAGGGACATACCTCTGGGCGTCCAGGGCCTGCTGGGGACAGTGGCCCCTCGTCTTTTTTCCATGGAGGGAGGAACTGCCCCTCCCCACAGTCTGCAACATGTACTCACATGGCCCCAGAGGGTTGGCCAGAAGAGCCGTTTCTGTGTTTTTATGGTAAATATTGTAGCCAGTTTTGTCCAGGAGAGGCAAAGGGGGTACAGTAGAGAGAGCTGTGGTCTAATAGCTCGAGGCCCTGAGTTCCGGCCCCACTTTGGACTCAGGACTATCCAAAGGTTCCCTTCGAGTCCCCACGACCAGCCCAAGATTTGCCTGAGGTTCATGGTAGTGTTTTGGCGCCCCCTGGTGGCTGCATCTTCAGGACCCTGGCAGGACTGAGAGTGCCTTAGAACAGAGCAGCCGAAAGCCACTCCCCCAAGATAGAACTGGAGTCAGCCAGGTGGGGCCGTGGGTGGTCACCAGCAGCCTCTGTCCAAGAAAGGCACAGCAACGTGGTCTGCACAGTGACAGCCAGGGCAGGAAGGGAAAAGAATTCTGACACTGGTCATGTTGAAGTAACACACACACTCTTTTACATAGTTGCAGTTTCGTTATTAGGTTTCAGCTTGTGCCTGGCATATCATGGGTACTACATGGGTGTAGACAAATGATAGATACAGTTTGACTGTCAATCAAACTGGGGTTTTATGAAACAGTTGGGAGCACAGACCTGAATGTGGAGGTTTCTGTGCAGGAATCTGCGGTTCAGCTTCCTCTTCATCTGAGGTTCCGACCTCAGCTCTACCTCCTGTGAACTGGTGACTTGGGCTAGCCTTTTCATTTCTCCTCTGCTCTAAAGTGGGAATAGCCCACATGTCCCGGAGCTGGTGAACATTCAGCAAGTGTCCTGCACAGATTATGCACCCACTCACTCAGTGGGCTGTTTCTTTTCCTTTCTTTCTCTCTCTCTCTCTCTCTTTTTTTTTTTTTTTTTTTTGGTAAGTAAATCAAATGAGCCCTGGCTGGTGTGGCTCAGTAGATTGATTGCAGCCTGCAAACCAAAGGGGCGCCAATTCAATTCCCAGTCAAGGCACATGCCTGGGTGTAGGCCAGGTCCCCAGTAGGAGGCGCGCAAGATGCAACCACACATCGATGTTTCTTTCCTTCTCTTTCTCCCTCCCTTCTCCTCTCTAAAAAGAAATAAATAAAATCTTTAAAAATAAATAAATAAAGTGATTTGATGAGTGCCCTGAGCAAGGGAGTGAGATGTGGTGTGGGAGCCCCAAGAATGTTGACATGATCCCTTAAATGGTAGAGAGCATGTTGACTTTTCCAAGCTCCTTCACCCTTTTGAAAAATGCAATCCAACAGCATCTCCAAGAGGAGGGCCTAAAAGTGATGGAGTTTTGCCCAAGACCACATAGGAATAAGCAGTTGGGACTGGAACTGTGGTCTCCCGGAGCCTTTGCTCAGCCAGCCAGGCTGCACCCCCTGCTTCTCCTTCCCCCAGAGTTGATACTCAGAATTGGGAACCCACAGTATGAAGGGCAGCCCCCGTTTATTGAGAGCTTACTATGTGCCCGGCATGTGTTCAGAGCTGTTTGTGTCTTACCTGTTTTCATTTTTACCCCAGCCCCAGGAGGAGGGTCGGGTCTGTGTTACCTTTACTTTTTGGATGAGAAAACAGAGGCCCAGGAGCGGTGGATTGTGGCCCCACGTCCCCAGCTCATATGTGGTGGAGTCAGAATTCCAGTCTAGTCCGTCGGGCCCCACTCTGCCACCTCCTGCTCTGAGACCACCCCCCCCCCCACCGCCCCACAACACCAGGAAGTGTGGGGGAAGCACCGGCAGGCGGAAGCCCTCAAAAGCGCCGCCCTCACTGCAGCTGCTCTGCTGTGTGGGGCCAGACACCCCCATTCGGTGCCGGGACCTAGAAGCAGGTTCCCGTGCTGAAGTGGGCAGCCCCGCGTGTCCATTCCTCGTTATGTTCTGTGCACTCAGGTTTTGAAAGTTGAGCGTGTCCTAGAGGGGTGGCCCTGGCTGATCTGGCCCTGCCCGGTGTCCCAAGCCCACCCCAGGATGTGAGCCTGGCTCAGACGCCGCGCCCCCTTGGAGGGCCCCACCTGGCTCACCATTTATTAAAAATGGAAGCAATGACAGTCATCTCAGCACCAGAAGTGGAAGAGACCTAGCTAAACTGTTTCTCTTTTGCAGAAACTGCAAGTCCCCTGATTTCCAATACTTTCCCTCTCCTACAGAGTAAGTGATGGTCCCACCGGGGGGCTGGAGAGGGCGAGGCAAGGCAGGGAATGAACCCGGTGGCCACGGCTCTCAGGGCCTCCCCAGAGCATCTGACCTCGGGCCGCCCTCCCAGGCAGGCAGGGCCGGAGGAGGGTCCAGCCCCAGGTGGGTGGAGGGGTTTGGATGGGGGGAGGCTGAGCCCTGACAGTGGCAGCCTGCCTCTGCCCCTCAGCCCTGGCAGGAAAGCAGACCTCCTGTCCTGCGCTCCACAGCAGCCTCAGGACCAGTGTCAGCCAGCCTCTACCTGGCTCTGCCCTTTCTCCTTGGTACCCCTTCGTCCTCCCTTGTTTCGGCTGGGCACTAACTCAAGTTTTGGGGACAGAGACGAAAGGCAAAGGCCCACTGGCACACTCGTTCCCGTTCCTGTTTGCTCTCCTCCTCCCTTCCGTCCCGCCCTCCGCCTCTCTCCTCCCCTTTCCGCATCTTATCCTGCTTCTTGCTTTTCTGTGGCTTTCTCCACATCTGACCCTGTTCTTTCGTTTCTTCTCCTCCTCCCTTTCCTCTGTGTCCCTCACCTTGTTTTGGGTTCATTCATACATTAATTCATTCGTTCACTCAGCAAACAGTGATGTGCACAGGCAGATGGGCTGTGGAACCGGTAAGACACGGTCTCTGCCTGAGAGAGTGCCTGGGCCCTCCTCCAGCCCATCCCCCGTGCCCACAACAGTGCCTGGCACACAGTAAGCACTCAATAAATGGCTGCCTGACTGCGTTGGACAGTCTCTATCTGCACGTCTTCCTCTCTCCATTGATCCTTCCTTCCCTGAGCCTCCCCCTCACTAGTTAGGGACAGGGGCAGATCAGGCTGGGCCCAAAGCCCCAGTGTGTGTGTGGGTTCCCAGTTCCAAATCTGCGCGCAGCCCAGCAGGAAGGCGTCCGGGGTCATTCTGCCGCTAAAACAGTGACTTCTTCTCTCTGCAGAACCCTATACGTGCGGCGCCTGTGGGATCCAGTTCCAGTTCTACAACAACCTGCTGGAGCACATGCAGTCCCACGCAGGTAGGAGACCCAGCGGCCCACCCCTCCCCCGCCTCAGCCCCGCAAAAGGCAAAAGGCAGAGGTGGCGGAGCCAGCCTGGGACCCCAGGGAAGGCCACTTTCCTAGGAAAGGGTCACAGGACCTGGGATCTGCCCCCAGGGAGCCCCTCAGTCCGTTATAACACAGAGGGGAGCTGTCTGCTCTGGGAAAAGCAGGCTCAGGGAGAGCAGAGAGAGTGGGCACAGAGCTGAAGGAGGCTTCTGGAAAGTCTTGGCTCCTGGCCTGAGCCTAAAAACCAGGTAGGAGCTAACCAGGAAAGAGACATGAAGGAGGGCAACTGAGCATGGTTTGAGGTCAGGGTGGGCAGAGGCAGGAGGTGCGTGCGGGGAGGCTGAGCCCGGGCAGCCTGGGCCTGCACCCCATGTCGGCACAGAGGTGACAGGCAGCTGCCCGGAGGGCGTGGATGGGGGAAGCACGGGTGTCTGCCCCCCCCGGCCTGAGTTTCGGGTTCTGTGCGTCGGGTCTGAGGTGGGGTGTGGGGGCCTAGGAGTTGCATTTCTGAAGAGTCCCCAGGCTGTGGTCCCACTTTCAGGACCCCTGCTGTGAGCTAGAGGAGGAAGTGGTCTGCTGCCCAGGCCACCTTTTTACGCGCTGTTTCACCATCTGCCCAGCGTGCAGTGTTAACGCCCTGGCTCCAGACCGCCCGGCCTTCAGACGATACCTCTGGTTTTCGGGTTTTTTCACAGGAGCACTCCGTCTCTAGTCTGATTTCTGTGTCAGTCAAGGAGACGCCATGTGCCGTAACAGATAAATGCCCAATTCTCAGTGTTTAACGTAAACACGCATTTCTCAGTTGCATCACAGCCTAGTGTGAGTAGCCCGGTTGGGTGGCCTTGCACAGGGTGAATTCAGGGACTCTGGCTCCCTCCTTGTGTGGCTCCATCCTCTCCTGGGTCTTCGGAACCCTCTCCCTGTGACCAGGGAGCGGAGAAAGAAGCACACTTCCCTCTTTACCACTTTAGATGACAGGTGACACGTGTCGTAGACACACTGATTCCAGGGGCAGGAAAAAAAAGATGCCCAGAGCCACAGCCCAAGGAAGGGAAACAGGAACCTAGGGGAGGAGCTAGCTGCCCCGGCGCCCTTCCTCAGTAACCCTCTGGAGGCTTGGAAATGAATGATGTGAGGTGCACATGGTGATTCAGTAATGGTAGCTGCTGCTGTTCGTGCTGTTTTTATGATTACTGCTTGTATCTCTCTTAGGTTTACAAATCTCATGTAATCCTCCAGGCCTGGCCTGACTGGCACAGAGTGGTGCAGGACTAGACTCTGTTTTAGGCTGGGTGCTGTTCTGTTAGTGTGACCCCTCTCCCTTCGTTCGTTCGTTCGTTCGTTCATTCATTCATTCATCCATTCAGCATATATTTATGGGGTGTCTGATGTACACTAGGCACTGATTCGCGTGACTTGGGGAAGCCGATCACGTATTTCCGATGGACTGGTTAAACGCAGGATGGAGTTGGATTGGCCGCCAAGGCGGGGGTTCAGCCCTCTGGTGTGCCCCCGTGGCCTGTGACCACCGGCAGGAAGCTGCGTCCCCCTCTCTGAGCGTCTCCATCTCTGATACGAGGGCACATAAACCTGCCGTCTCCAGCTGCCCCCCTCACACCAGGGTTTCCTCTTCACCTGTCTCACACCACCCGCTTCCCCGTGCCAGCACCCATCCCGTGCCAGGGAAGGCCTTGAATGCCAGCTCGGGCCATTTAGTCTTGACCTGATGAGGCATGGTGACAGCAGTGGGGAGAGTCTGGCTGCTGAGGACCGCCGCCTGAGAGACCCACAACCCAGCTCCCTCCCCCTCCCCCGAAACTCCAGCCCCAGCCCCGCACCTGCTGCTCAGCCTGCTTCGGGAAGCTGAGGCTAATTAGGGAAGAGCCTGGGTGCCTGGGCTTCCACATCCCTCAGGCAGTTGGGCAGAGGCCATTAAAATGCAAATGAAGGCTGCACCTTGTGGTGGCCCCACCTCCCCCCAAGCATCTCCCCTTGTTTTCCACGAAGAGCTCTGGGCTGCTTTGTTCTGGTCCAGTGCTGGCAGAGAATGCGGGAGGCACTCCAGTGCAAAGCCAGGCTGATTCCCAGCCAGGCTGAGTCGGGATTAAAGGATTGACTCCATACAGAGAAATTAAACGTCACGATCTGCGCAGTTCACGGTGCTGCTGATAAGGGGATCAGCCTCGAATAACACCAATCTCGTTAAGAGGCTGCTGACTGGCACAAGGTAATTCCTGCTAATAAGCTCCCTTTCTTTGCTGTGGGAAGCCCTGTCTTGCCTCTGGTGACAGTTCAGGAGCCCGTTTTGGCGGTAACGATGCTGAGACCGCTCACATTTAGAGAGCAATTAGTTTCTGTCAGGTATGGTTATCTCATCCCACCTCCTGAACAAGCCCCTGAGCCCCCTGACATTATCCCACTGTACAGATGAGGAAACTGAGGCTCAGAGAATGGAATCGCTGGTTCAAAATAGTATCACTATGAACATTGCTGCAGCTCTTCCTTGGTGGCAGGACTCAGTGTAAACGTTTTGCACGTACCGGCTCATTTAACCCTCCAACGGCCCTCTGAGTTAAGTGTCCGTATCAGCTCCACTTTACAGATAAGGAAATTGAGGCACAAAATGGCTGCGTGACTTGCCCAGGGCTTTGCAGTCACGATGTTAGGCCAGGACCCAGATTCAGCAACTTCCCTCTTCAGCTGGATAAACTGATAGATGAGGTGAGGGGTTACCAGAGGCAAAGTCCCCTCACAGATCATCCTCCCAGTCCCTTGTTAAAGTACATTGAGGAGGACCACGGCCAGGAGAGGCGTGGGGACTTTCCCAGGACCCCCACCAAGAGGCATGGGACTCCCACGCAGCAAACAGTTTTTTTGCAGGCATTTACAGTTTTAGGATTTTGGAGGGGCCTCACCTGATTTCTAATCTCTTTGAACCGCTTTACCTCTCAGGGCCTGCGTCTGCTCACCTGTGAAGTGGGCTGACCGGCGCTCTCTGCAGGCCGGCTGGGAGTTCTGGAGATGACACACGATGTAGTCTGGGCTGTGGCACATTCTAAGATGAAACCGAACAAGAGCGGCTTCTCTTTTTCCATCCTCTGCCAGAAACAACCACTTCCTCTTTCCTGCCTGGGCCCCTTCCTGGGAGACAGCCTTTATTCCAGCTTTGCATCTGTGCCACACACTGTGCTCTGTGCTTTCCCTGCATTGTCTGTTGTTAGTCTTCCAGCAGTTGTGTTACATCTGTGCGATGATCTTTGTTTTTCCTAATGATGACAATAAGGCTTCAGCCCACAGTGCTGTGGCTCAGTGGACTGAGTGCCAGCCTGTGAACCAAAAGGTCGCCGGTTCAATTCCCAGTCAGGGCACATGCCTAGGTTATGGGCCAGGCCCTCAGTGGGGCGGGGGCGGGGGCGGGGGCGGGGGCGGGGGCGGGGGCGGGGGCGGGGGCGGCTTGTGAGAGGCAACCACACATTGATGTTTTTCTCCCTTCCCCTCTCTGTGCAAATAAATAAATAAAACCTTTTTTTAAAAAAAGAAAAGAAAATGAGGCTTCACAAACATAAAATACCTGTGTAAGGAGGAGCCAGGATTTGGAGCCAGGTCTCAGTCCCAGAAGCCATGTTTGCCTTCGCCTGCCATGCCCCCATTCTTGTCTGGTAGTCCACAGACCTCTTACACTTCGGGGTAACATCCTATCTCTTTATGCTGGCAGCGGACAACGAGAACAACATTGCCTCCAACCAGTCCCGATCGCCACCTGCTGTCGTGGAGGAGAAGTGGAAACCCCAGGCCCAGAGGAACAGTGCCAACAACAGTAGGTCTCTCCCAGGCTGGAACCCACGGGATTCATGGAGGTCTGCCCCCCGCACCTCCAGACCTCTCTCTGGTTGTTCCTTCCACCCCTCATCTCCACCACCGGTGCCTCCCATGATGACAGAAGACCATGCATAACAGTGTCCAAAGCACATACACACCTTAGACCTCGTAGGTGTGAATTACAACGTCATGGGATGGGCAAAAGGAGGCCTGGGGAGAGGAGATGATCCGTTTGTGATCAGAGAGCACAAATTAGTGACAGAATCAGAACTGGTATCTACTCAGAATTTCTTGGCTGCTCTTTCCTGACACTGTGGCTTCATGTATTTTATTCACTAGAGATCCCTTTATTAGAGGCCACTGCTATAATGAGGAAGAGGTTACGCTAGTTGACTCCAAAAGTCTAGGTGAATGGCACATGCAGCAAGCATGTTGCCCACAAAGCACTATGTTCTATTCGCATGCCCATGGCAGGCATTACTAATCAATCCATCATAGAAGGTTATTCTCATGAGACTCATGTATTAAAAAACAGCTAGCAGCACCAATTTGTATGCAAGATGAAATCGGGTCATAATTCCTAGTACTAGATGCTTAGAGTATTAGGCTGCTGCCAGACCAAGGAGCCTCAAATGCCAGGATTAATCACATCTCTCCTTGTGTCCCCTGTCAGCCACGACCAGTGGTTTGACATCCAACAGCATGATCCCCGAGAAGGAGCGGCAGAACATCGCAGAGAGGCTGCTGCGGGTGATGTGCGCCGATCTGGGTGCGCTGAGCGTGGTAAGCGGGAAGGAGTTCCTGAAACTGGCCCAGACACTGGTGGATAGTGGCGCCCGCTATGGGGCCTTCTCGGTCACAGAGATCCTGGGCAACTTCAACACGCTGGCACTGAAGCACCTGCCGCGCATGTACAACCAGGTGAAGGTGAAGGTGACATGTGCCTTGGGCAGCAACGCCTGCCTGGGCATTGGCGTCACCTGTCACTCACAGAGTGTCGGCCCCGACTCCTGCTACATCCTCACCGCCTACCAGGCTGAGGGCAACCACATCAAGAGCTATGTGCTGGGCGTGAAGGGAGCAGACATTCGCGACAGCGGCGACCTGGTGCACCACTGGGTGCAGAACGTGCTGTCAGAGTTTGTGATGTCAGAGATCAGGACAGTGTACGTGACGGACTGCCGGGTGAGCGCGTCCGCCTTCTCCAAGGCCGGCATGTGCCTCCGCTGCTCAGCCTGTGCCTTGAACTCGGTGGTGCAGAGCGTGCTGAGCAAGCGGACACTGCAGGCCCGCAGCATGCACGAGGTCATCGAGCTGCTCAACGTGTGTGAGGACCTGGCGGGCTCCACGGGCCTCGCAAAGGAGACCTTCGGGTCGCTGGAGGAGACCTCGCCACCGCCCTGCTGGAACTCGGTCACGGACTCGCTGCTGCTGGTGCACGAGCGCTACGAGCAGATCTGTGAGTTCTACAGCCGAGCCAAGAAGATGAACCTCATCCAGAGCCTCAACAAGCACCTGCTCAGCAACCTGGCAGCCATCCTGACTCCGGTGAAGCAGGCGGTCATCGAGCTGAGCAATGAGAACCAGCCCACCCTGCAGCTGGTGCTGCCCACCTACGTCAGACTAGAGAAGCTGTTCACGGCCAAGGCCAATGACGCGGGCACTGTCAGCAAGCTCTGCCACCTCTTCCTGGAAGCCCTCAAGGAGAACTTCAAGGTGCACCCAGCGCATAAGGTGGCCATGATCCTGGACCCACAGCAGAAGCTGCGGCCTGTCCCACCCTATCAGCATGAGGAGATCATCGGCAAGGTGTGTGAGCTCATCAACGAGGTTAAGGAGTCCTGGACTGAGGAGGCTGATTTTGAACCCACCACCAAAAAGCCTCGCTCCGCCACTGGTGAGAACCCCACAGCTCAGGAAGACGATCGGCTGGGGAAGAACGAAGTGTACGATTACCTGCAGGAGCCCCTCTTCCAGGCCACCCCTGATCTCTTCCAGTACTGGTCGTGCGTTACCCAAAAGCACACGAAACTCGCCAAGCTCGCCTTCTGGCTCCTCGCAGTTCCGGCCGTGGGGGCCAGGAGTGGGTGTGTAAATATGTGTGAACAGGCACTTCTAATCAAAAGGAGGCGACTGCTCAGTCCAGAAGATATGAACAAACTCATGTTTCTGAAATCCAACATGCTTTAAGACTTTACTTCTGAACGAAAGGAAAGAAAAAGAGAAAAAGAATGGTAGGAAAAAAAAAATACACAACACTGTTGCAAACAAAGAAAAGGAATTTAAGTTCTAAACACTGTGGACCTCATTATAAATGCCCCCTGGAAACTTAAGTGCTTTTTTCAGTGTGTGTGCGCGTGTGTGTGTATACCTGCATCTGTGCGGACGTGTCCAAGCACACGTACCGTGGACGCGGGCATGGGGCTCTTTGCTTATCTGCGTGGCCACAGAAGCTTCACGCACGCGGGCACACACATACTAACCTGGTGCATGCGCACACGCCTGCTTGTGGGCATGTGCGCATTAAACTGGGCGTGTCAGGAAAGCTGAGTGTTTGGGAAAGAGGGAAAAAAACGCTTCACCTCCTTTTCTCAGTAAGGGGCTTTTAAGACTCCGTTTTCAGGTGTGCAGATTGGTAGAACGCTGATGTTGCAAAATGTTCAGGCAGCTGAGATCTGAAGTGACTTGACGCTCTCTGTCCTTCACCCCTTGGTCCCCCTTTTTCCTTCCTCTCCCCCAAGTCCTCCTGACCCTACTGTACCCTGCCCCCCGCCCCCCGGCTGCCCTGCTATGGATTCTCCAAACTGCATCAGATGGACAGTTTCTGCACTGGACTTTGTTCTTATTCACCTTCAGGGCATTGAGCTGCTGCCCTCAAGACACCCTTGGGTGTCACGGGGCAGCCGCCTTAGAAACACACCTATCTATCTCCCCAAATCAGGAAAGGAGACTTTAAGAATATAAAGCTGACTTTTGGCTTTTTAATGTAAGAGAAAAAAAAAAGACATATTTCAGAGAAGTATTGATACTGTCTCCACTCAATATTTTTTCCTAACTTTTTACCAGTTTTTATCTTTTGTTTTTGGGTTTGTTTGGTTTTTTTTTGGTTTGTTTTGTTTTTTCAAACTTAATTTAGACTCTGCTAGGAGGCACTGAATGTCTATAACTTATAAGTTGAAGGTTTTTTTTTTTAATTGCCCGTTTTGTTCCTCAAGTCACACTGTAAACTAGCTCATCTCAGTGGTATATTCACTCTCCTAAGGTTTTTATTAACCTTCCCTGTACAGTCCAGTTTTCGTGTATTTGAACAGCAAAGCCCATGACCTCGTCTGTGCTGTTTGGAGACCAGGAGTGGGGTTGGAGTCACAGGTTCCACAAACGCGGGGTGTGGTGGAAGCCATAGGGAAGCACGTGGCTCAGGAGTTCTCCTGAATGTAAGTGGAAGGCCCGCCCTCCTGGCCCGCTGTGTCTGGTACTGCGAATGTCCGATTTCTATAACCCAGAGTGCATTACACTACTCGCCACATCACTGACACTTCCAGCTCAGCAGGGACTCCTGAGTTGACCCACGTTCACGTCTCCTTTCACACCTCAGACCCACGGCCCCTCCTCCCTCCCCACGACCCCAGGTGGCTCCGATGGCTCCATCGTCCTCAGCCTGGGGGCCTCTGCAGAGCCTCAGCCCTCCGTCCAGGACAATAGTTGAGCATGGTGCCTTGTGGGCCAAATGATTGATGTCTTGAGGGTGGAATGGCATTAGGCCACTTGAACTTGATGCTGTGAAAGATGTCTTTAGGCTTTTCTCTCTTTGAGCAATGTAGTTTCTATACATTCAGTCCAAATGCTGAGGGTGGCCCCTTTCCCCTCCAAAGAGGTGGTTCTGTCAGGATCAGTGATCCAACCCTGCCCCCCGCGCCCCAACCCCTCCTCTCTGTGTATTAAGTGCTGGTGGTCTCACATCCTCCGGTGCCCATGGCTGTGGCATAGACATGGTTACACCAAGGGCTTCAGGGTGAGGAAGACCACCATGGTGGGGGGCTGTTCGCAAAGGCGCATTTTACCATCTTGGGGGTTGGCTAAGTCCACTCCATCCCTTCCTAGTAATAAAGCATTACTCAACAGCAAGATACCTCGACTACAAAAAGCACTGTACAACAGCCCTCCCCCCCCGGTCCGTGGCAGGTGGGGAAGTCAAGTTGGTGGGAAAACACTGTTCCTGGGCCACATCCTCTTCAGCAAGCCGTGGCCTCAGCAGCCGCCCTGCCATTTCCTGTCCTGGACAAGTTCCGAGTGTTTCCTCCACAACATTTCCCGCTGGGGTCACACCATCAGAAGAGCCTCCATTCGCACTGGACAGTCACCTAATGTCAGTTCCTAAAGTGTATCAGCAGATTTCGATAGACCTCTGGGGACATTCCAGAAGGCAGCTGCAGGGTTGCTGGGGAGCGACAGACGCCTGCAGCTAACGGTTCCTCCAGCTTTGCTTTGCTGCTGCGGACGGGCCCACAGCCTGGCACGTCAGCCACACCAGAAGGGCCCAAACTGCCGCCTTTGCATGGTCCGTGGAAACAGCCTTGGAGCCCATCCTCCCTCTACTTAGAGCAGAGCTGTGTTGGTGTTGCCCCATTGCGGGGCCAGCCAGTTAGAAAATAGGCCTTTTGTTTTCTTGTAAAGCCATCAGAGACCAAGTCCAGATGTTCATTTAGAGTCGTCTTTGGAACGTGGGATGTCTGCCTTCCAGAATGAAAATTTGAGTAAGTCTCACTTAAATTCTAGTTATCTAGTCATAGGCATCACCTCCTGATCTGTTCTCCCGTTCCACCGTAGGTCAGTCCTTAGGACAGGTTTGATGTCCTAGGACAGGGAAGACGCCACTGGGCTCTCTGCAAGCTGTCTCCTGGGGCTGCCTCAACCAAGTGTGATAACAAGGTGGCAGGTAGCCATTTGTCTCTTATAACCTCTGGTTCCCCAGAAATGGGTGTTGCCAGCAGGCAATTCCCATATCGCAGATCCTGCTGTGACCAACAGCTTAGCAACCCAAAGATCTCACAGGCCCCGCCACTGGCCCCCTGATTCACAGCAATATCCACCTTGTTCCAATTCTAGTTCAGCCAAAGGACTGAGGTAGACTCTTCCGGTTACTCTACAGGCACTCACCCTGGCATTGCCCTACGGAAGGGCTTTGTCTTCTGCTTCCTACTTCTGTGACTGCTCTAGGACTTCCCATCCCACACCCTTGGCAGCTGATAAGACCAGAAACCAATTCTGTCATGTGCTGGGCAGCTCCAGGTGTTCGCCAGCTGCCTTGGATACAGCTCGTCTCAAGCCATGTGATTCCCAGGACAGAACTGGTCTTTGTTCTGTTGTATACAGACCCAAGAGGAGACTGCAGGGGCTGGGCTGCTCATTTGAGATCAGTTGGCTTCACCAACAAAGCCTGAGCCAAGGACCAGGCCACGTGGGTGGTCCCTCAGACTTGGAGTAGCCCAGGGATCTCGGCTCCACAGAGAACAACGGTGCCATCCCAGGCGTCGCGAGTGGATGTTCCTGGCCTGGCACTGCTCTCCCTTCCCTGTGCCTAGGTCAGCCAGCCAGATCTCCCTCCAATGGTAGTTGGAAACCGGGAAACAAAATGCAGGGGCCACCTGCTGCACTGGCATCCAGCCCACCTGACAACCTCGTGCTTGGCATTCAGAGAGTAGCTCTCAGCTGGAAAAAGGGTATGATGACACATTGGGAAGTTACGGGGCTCCGGGATTCCAGGAAGGACTTTTTTTTATACCAGGTCTGGAAGTTGCCACGAGTTCTCCCCTTCAGCTTGTTCCTTTCCTGCATTTTCAAGAAATACCAGAGGAAAAACTCCGCAAGGCACGTTTTCCACTGTGAAGCTGAACTTCTGTCTTTCGGAGTCCCCTATGCTTGTGCGAGGCCCCCTGCTGCCTCCTGGGCTTGGACAAGGCTCCTTGGAGAGTGCACGCCTGGGGAGACGTCAAGGATACAGCACACACACTGGGCTCCGCAGATTCACAAGAAAGGTTTGAAATGAAGCTGGGATGCGGATGGAGAAGGGCGATCCCATGAGAAATGGCCCAGACAGGGACAGGACCTGGATATTGTCATCATGATGGATGTGCTTGCAGAGACAGGAAGAGGAAGTGCATGGGGCACGGTGGGCAGCCTCCGGCCGCCTTGAGCTGAAGTGGGTTCATAGCGATGCCCCTGCCTTGGGAACCGGCCAGCGCTGGTGTCCCGGGGCTGCACCTGAAGGAGGGCTGTTAGATGGGCCGCTGCTTTAGACAGACCCCAGAGGCTAAGTAAGGCTCAGGCTGCCCCCTGGAGATGGCAGAGGGGGGCCCTTGTCTTGGCCCTGCCGGCCCTGCCCCAGCCTCCTGTGTCCCCCAGGGCCTGTGGGAGAACTGGGCTGGGACCTGCCCCTCTCTTCACTGTGGCTAATGTTTGCTAGGCCAGTTATGGTGAACCAATGATACAGTGTTTGTCCCTCTTATGTTTCCCTCCCGGTTTCCCGTTTTCAGGGTTTTCTGGAGGATGTTGTGGTTTTTCTTTGGCTCTCGGTTGGGTCTGAGGACCATAGTTTGTAGAGGCCAGGCATTCCCAGAAAGGACCCTCTGGTTTCCATGTGAAAAGGCACCTGCTCCCGCTTGGATGAAGTGAAGATTCTGTTTGTATATTCACCGCCCCGCCGCCACCACCACAGTATCGCTTTAAATATTCAACTCCTATACCGAGAAGGATCTGCTAGGTTTGCAGTTGGGCGTCAGCATCGGGACCGTGAAGGTCCTACCCTTTTACGCGTCCCACTGGGCACCTTGACTCTTCAAACCAAAGTTCCTTACGGGGCACAGCCCAGCCTTGACTGCAGCCTCAGGGGCCTGAGATCCCTGTGGCGCTTCCTGAAGTCCAGGTTGGCCAGAGACCTTGGGGTCCAAGGTCAGCCGCAAGGGGGCTCTTATCCCACAACCCAGGTGCCAGCCAGCCCCTGCCAGGGACCCTCTGTCCCGCCCAGCCAAGCACGGCTGGGTTCCCAAACAGTGAGCGAGCTCGTGGATTGGCACGGGGCTGGGACTCACCAGCCAGGAGACAGAGGGACCTGCGGGGCTGAAGGCTCAGACCCACCGGGCAACGCGTCCAGGGCCATTCAGATCCCAAGCATCAGGAAATCATTTTGTACAACCGCCTGAAGCTGAGATATTTTTTAAAAAGTCTAAATTATTTTCAGTTCTCTTCTGATCCTACCTTCTTTTCCCCACAACTTCACATCGGTGATTCTTTCACATCAGGTAAATCTCGAGAAAGCCTTGGTGCCCCCTCCCTCCCGCGCCCCACTCAGTCCCACGTGCGTGCACCCCATCCTTTCTCAGTAGTAAAGACGTTCTAGGCAATACCATAGGCACATCGGACTGTGTCTCTTCGAGTGCAAGAAACTCAAGTCATCTTAAAAAAAGACAAAAAAAAATTTACAAAAAAACAAACACAAAAAAATATCTTTTTTAGGCCAGAGTTTTCTACAGGTATTAATGAATATTTTTCTTAATCCTTATAAGTTTTATGTGTTTAATATTTCTTAATACCGGTAGCATTAATTTATACTTTTGTAGCAACACAATATTTTTATAAACAGCCAGTGCTTGGCTCAAGTCTCCACGAGGGGTTTATGCAGGGCCATCTTGGGACCCTGTGTACCATGTACTGTATTAAAAAAAAAAAAAGTTACCTAGTGTCACCCTTGCTGTGTTAATTACGAAAAGGCGTCGTTCGCGGTCTCCTGTGTCGGTGTGGATCCGATAACTCTGCAAGGAGTCCCATTGCATGGGGGTTGAGTTGACGGTTCTTGTGTGATGTGTAAGCCCCCGAGACCAAACTTGAGGGTTTATTTTAGGGTTTTCTGTTTGTCCTTTGGGTTTTTTTGTTTTGCTTTGTTTGGGTACTGTTTCTCCATTTACAGCCAAATCAATTTCGTGATGTTTCAAACTTTTACTGATGTCAAATAGAGGAAAGGAACAGAAGAAGGAAAGATTTTTTACAAAGTAATAAAATTTAAAACTGAGCTGTTTAAATGTTGCTGTTTTACCTGTCTGTTCTTGTCCAAAAGTGGGACATTCCCAGGGAGAAGAGGAAGGTTCCACTTGGTTCCTTAAGTCGCCAAAAGCCCCAACCCAGAATTCAGAACCCCTCTACCCCATGAATTCTTGCAACATTGTTTCCCAGTTGGTTGATGCCAAGGCAAAAAGACATCCTTTTAATGGTTAGAGAGGATCAGTTGCTTAAATGATTTCATGTCAGTGTTGTATTTATGGTTTTACAATAAAACAACCTTTAGGAAGATGGCAGCGTGTGGTCTTATTTCTTGGATTTGGGGTTGGGCCGTGTCATCGGGTTAGGAGCGTCTACTGGTAAGTAGAGATGGACCAGACGTGGGCCACTGGGGGCGACAGCTGGAGTCCATCCCAAGGGGGACACTGAGGTCCGGGTTGCAAACTCCTCTGAGCTCACTGCTTACCTCCTTCACCAGACCCAGCTCAACCAAAGTTTGACACATGATGGCTGGACAGACCAAGGTGAGACGTGGTCCCCACAGGCCTGGCTCATGGAGTATTGCTCCATGGAAGAAGGGGTACATGTCACCTGAGTCCTACAGACCCAGTGCCTATGGGACACATCCAAGTTCTCCTTGCCCAGCGGTCATTTGTGTGCTTCTTACGACTCTGGCTTTGGACTCCCAAGTGATGCATGTGACATTATGTGTTGTGTGTAACACCTGTTTCCTGAGGAAGAGTGTCCATGGCTTTGCCAAATTCCTGACGGCATCTGCGAGCGCCCTCCATGGTGAGTCGCGGGGACTAGCCGTGGTGGACTCGCGGCTCCGCAGGCCTCACAAAACCTCAGACTCCAGATGCGGACACATCAATGCTTTGCTTGACTAGAGTCCCGCTGAAGGCAGATTGGACAGAAGACGCCGCCAGAAGGCCAGCTGTGGCCTGAGTGGGGCGGAGGGATGACAGCCCCTCCTAAAGCAGGGGTGCTCCTGCGAGGACACCGTCCAAGGTGTCACGGTAATGGGATGACAGACCCCCAGGGCCTCGCTGTAGCCCTGTCTTCAGCTTGATACCGGCTGATCTTCAAGAGAGTGTGACTCGGTCAGCTGAACCAGTGCCATCAGATTGCACATGGCAGCACGTAGAGGCCCAAGCTGGGCCAGCCTCCCAGGGGGCACCAGCCTTGCCCTCCAAACTGCCCTTCTGTGGGATTTCCCTGCTGTTAGTGTACAATGTGGGCGAGCAGCTGAAGTTTAACCGGCGAGTTTCTATGGGATCTCAGACAAAAGCCAAGAGTCCCACCGTAGCTGACGATCCTCCCCATGCCTCAGAGCTTCGCAAATAAGGCGCAGGCCTAGCCCAGAGCCTTCAGGCAGCTGAAGGTCCGGCTGCTGGATTTTAAAGTTTAAAAAAGAATGTCTATATACGCGGTCACATCTGTTTTGCATCGGAAATAAGTATGACCGCTCAGGGGTTGAGAGAGCCCTCAGGGCAGCGACCTGCTGAGGGTGATGAGCCTGGGCCTTCCGAGATGGGCGCTGTGCTCCGGACTCTGGGTCACAGGTGTGCTTCAAGCCCCCTGCCCCCCTGAGGGATGAAATCGGAACCCGAGGGAATTTTTCGTTGGGGAGGTCTTGGCAAGGGCCAGGGGGCAGCAGGGGAGGCCCTGGTTCCAGGGACCAGCTCAAGTCAGCTCTGTCCCTGGGCAGGGTGCAGGCCCAGGGCTGCCAGAACTTTTCTAGAGAACCAAGAAACCCAGGTTTGTGTGTAGATGCTCTGTTTTTGAACGGGGAGCTTCGGCCGTAAAAAGCCCCGCCTGAGGCACACACTCCGTCCAGCGGCTGGCCGGCACACCTGGGACTCTCACCCTCCGCTTTAAGCATTTGTTCTTCAGAGCACTTCAAAATGCCCCTCTTCAGAGTGGCGCTGCCGTGGGCGGCTCTTGTGCGTGAGGCGCGCACGGAGGGGAGCAAGGTATGGTGCCATTTGTTAGGTCCGGGCCGGAGAGCCTGCCTGTCACTTGTCCCTGTGCCCGGACCCCACCCATTTCTGCCCAGACAGTCCTGGCCCTGACCCTGAACGTGTCCCTCAGGACATCCCTCTGCCCAGATCTAGACTTGGGAGAACACAGAGGGCGGGGAGACTTTATGTGGTCCAACCAGGGGGGTTACAAGGCTTCTATACCCAAATCTTTGCTTCCGGGTTTATCCCCTCAACCAAAGATGTGGAATTTCCTCCCTTCTTCCTTCTTGATGGGTCACTTAAGCAAGTGGGCTAATGGCATAAGAAGAACCTGCGACTGAATTAGCCCCCAGCCCTTAAAAGGCTGGTGACCGCACGGAGAAGAGGCACTGGCCCTGCCTGGGTGTCTGCTGCCCCAGTTGGCTTCGCACTTCAGGCCACGACACTGGGCCTCCCTCCGCAGCAGCGGTCGCGTCCAGCTGGCCTCGGGGTGGGTGAAGCTAGCAAGAGGAATTTATAAATCAGTTGTATATTCAGTGTGTCTGAACCGGAGGCTCCTAGAGTCGTGTTCTTGGGCCAGGTTGTCACCTGAGCCCCCGGTCTGGCCTACCAAGTCTGAGGGGAGGAGAAGCCAGGCCAGACCAAGGGCTGCTGGCCGTGGTCCAGGGCCCTGCCGGTCGTCGTGGACGCGATGTGAAGGTCAGTGAACGTTCGCATTCTGGGACAAAGGGCAGAGTGAGGACCCCAGGAGATGAGAACTCCAGGGCCTGGTGGGGAAACAGCCCAAAGCTTTTCACTTTCCAGCAGCTGTGGCTGAAGTAAAACCCTGGAGGGGGTTCCATGGGACAAAGGATGGGGATTACTTCAAGCACTGACCCACCTGGGCACACTAGGGCACAATTATCCTGACCCCAGGTCACTGGTGACCTGGTCAAACCACTCCCAGAAACAAGTACCCAGAGTCACCAGCCCCCGCTGCCTGTGCTAGCTTTATGAAAACAAAACGACCCTCTTTTACTACCGTCGAATAAACAGAACCGTGATTTATGCTTCATAATTTGCATAGCCAATTTCACGTATGGAAGATAGTTCTATTGCATTTCCAACACATACATTTTTCACTCGCAGGGAAGGCTGCGTGAGGGCCCCACCCCCCCCGCCCCACCTCCGGCTTTGTCTCCCTGTCCTGTCCCCATCTCATTACCCTTACGATGACAATGAACAGTCAGGACATGGCATTTCAGGAATCTGTGATTTGGTTTTTATTTGAACCCAGGTCTCTCGGCCCGGCCTGCCCAAGGTGGGGCCCCGGGACAGCCACTGGCCTGCAGCTTCCCCGCCATCCTCTGGCCTCCGACCGACCTCTCAGCTGGAGAAGCGCAGCAGCTCCTCATCTCCTGTGGACACAGAGGCGCAGGGAGTAGGTGCGCAGCTCGCCTGAGGGTCCGCGGGAGGGGCAGGTCAGGGAGGGGGTGCTCTGAGCCTGCGGCCAGAAACTCCTGCCTGCTGAATGCCTTGGTATCCCCAAAGTGCATTCGCAGAATGATCTGATTTGTTGCCTCTTCTGACTGACTTTAGATGTCAGTTCCCCGTGGGGAAATAAAGCACAGTAATCTTAAGCGGCTGCTCTTCCCGGCAAGACTATTACAGGCACACCTCGGATATACCGCGGGTGGGACTCCAGGCCCCGGTAATAAAGCAACTATCACAATAAAGGGAGTTGTAATCTTTTTGCGGGTGGAGGGTCTTGCCTTCAGCTTGTAAAAAACACGGTATCTACGAAGCGCAATCAAGTGAGGCAGCCCATCCTGTTCTCAGCACCGCTGTCATCAGCAACGGCTGCCGTTAGCTGGGCGCACTGAGCTAGGCGCTGTGAAGTCTGGGAAGAAGGCACTTTGTCCCATTTTACGTTAGAGAAAACTGAGGCTAATGTTGGCACTTGCCCAGCGTGGCCAGTCTGATTGTGGCAGTGCCAGAATCAGCCCAGTTCTGCCAGGCTCCTCAGACTACCCTGCACACCCTCTGCCTGTACCTGGTACCTCAGGTGCCCCATCCAGGCTGGGGTAAGACCTAGGGCTTGGACCCATTTTAAAGATGGGAGGCTGAGGCCCAGAGAATGAATGTGCTGGTCATCGGGTAAAGAGTCCAGAATTTAGCTTTCCTAGCCCCCACCTACCAGGGCTTTCCCACCTGGACAGCAACAGCCCCTTGGCCCAACCTGGCCTCCCATAGGGCCGCCTACCGTCGCCAGGGACGCCGCAGTACTCCTTGCACTCCTTCTCCGAGTAGAACTTGTTGCCGTTGCCTTGGCAGCCCCCATAGGTGAAGAGGATGCACTTTCCCTGGACGGCATCATATGCCCAGAGCTGGGTAAAGGCTCTGCAGGGGCCGCGGACTATGGGGAGATTGCAGGCCGCTGTGGGGTGGGAGGCAGGCACACAGCATTAGGAATCCTTACAATTGGCTCACCTGAGACAAAGGACCGAAACCAAGGGACCCTGCTCATCCAGATCACCTAGTTCCTGTCTCCTATACTGCGAAACTGGGGCCCATGAGAACAAATAACTTGCCTAGGGTCACCCGTATCCAAATGGCGATTCCTGACTTCAGGAAACTTGCCCTGGAATTCCACCCCTAGAACATTGTTTCTTAGCTACCTGTTCAATTGGCGGGTGGTTTGTTGGGAGGACAGTGTCGTGAGATGCAGCATGCATAGAGGTAAAGGGCCCAAACTCACCCACAGTGCGGCAGGTCTGCAGACAATCCTTCTCAGTAACGAAGTTGTTGCCATTGCCCAGGCAGCCGCCATATTGGAAAGTCTCACAGGCCATGGATGAGCCATTATAGAAATACCTACTGACCATCCCCAGGCAAGGACCTTCTGCGTAGCCCAGTTGGCAGGAATCTGGGGAGGAGCAGACCAATGGCATTTACTGAGTGCTTACTGTGTACCTGTCACCACGCTCTACATTTACCATGCATCACCTCATTTCGTTTTTATCTCTGCACTAAGAGGAAGGATTACCAGCTAATTTTACAGATGAGCAAATTGACTCTGAGGGAGATAAAATGACTTGACTTGCTCAGGGTCACACAGAGCTGAGGATGGACGACATCCTTTTGTAGTCCAACAAAATCATGTTTGTTGGACTACATAATCAATGCTCATTCCATAACATGGGAAGTTACCAGCACCCAGAGACCCATCATCCCCTGTGCTGGTCTTATCTGCCCAAAAATTCTGTAATATTAGTAGTTGGCACATTCAAGAGGCCAGCCAGCCTGACCTCTCGACCGAAGTCCCATCCCCATGCCTTTGCTCTGCCCCTGGAATGCATTGTCCCTGCCCCTGGGACGCACTGTTCCATAAAACCCTACCTGGATGCCTGGACGCCTGGACGCAGCATGACTCCCCCCCCCCCGCATCCATGAAGTCCTTGATCTCCTCACCCCTCTGGACTCTTGAGCTACTCCAGCCTGTTCGCTGACCCTCTCTTTTGGGTCTATCACTCTCTTCCCTGACTGCTTCTACCACTTGAGCAGAAATTCCAAAAAGACATGGGCAGTTTGTCTCGGTGACTCCAGGGCCCAGCACGGGGTCTAGGGTGGAGCAGGGTTCAGTGTTTGTGGGGCAAGCTGGAGAGTGACTTGTCCATAAACACTGCCAGCTACACAAAGCATCCTCACATCCTCCCCTCACCTTGCTCCCACGAGAGCCCTGGTGGTCAGCTCAGCAGGTGGTTACCCCACTGTGTAGATAAGGAAACCAAGGCTAGGAGGCCACACAATGAGACAGACAGGGTGAGAGCTGGCTTCTGAGACCATGCCTTATCTCCTCTCTCCCCACACACCCTCTGGCACAGGGTGTGTGCCTTTTCTAGGTCTAGTCCTTGACTCTGCCAGAAAAATAAGAGATTTCATGGTTGTGAGGGCAGCCAGGGTGTGCCAACCATGGGTCCTTCCTCTCTGGAGTATGGCATTACCTTCCTTCTTGTTGAATTCAGTTGCTAGTTGCCCAGCCCCCGATCCTTCCTCTTCCTGGGGCAGTACAGCCCTCCGGGCTCTCTGTGGGGAAGAAAGAGAAACTGTTGCAGGAACCTTGTCACTATTGCTCACTTGTACCCCTGGAACACATAAACCATTTGTTTTGGGAATCAGGGTGTGGACAGAAGCACAGCTACTAGACTAGTTAATGCCCTGTTTCCCTGAAAGCATCAACCTGAATTCCAGAATGGGGATCACAGGACAGATTTCTGGTCTGAAATGAAAAATCAGAACCTCAGGGTATAACAATGCCTCACATCCAACCTCCAATTGAAGTGCCAAAAGAATATAATAATGGAAAAAAATCTACTCCAGAGTTGGAAACCAGAGAAGGACAGTGCTCCCATGCAAGAAGCTTGAAGTGTTTGTACACAACAGAATACGAGTGTGACTGGTCTGCAGGAAAGGCTGCTTACAATGAGAGCTCCTTACAAAGGAAAAGCTATCTAGGGAGTGAGGAGAAGGGACCTGAGATTGAACCTAACACTCCTAGCTGTGGTGGTGGAGGCTGTAGAACAGGGCAGGCTGCCAAGCTGTCAAAGGGGTCTCTGAGTATAGAGTCCCCTGAGACAGGATTCCATGGCAATTTAAGAAGCGATAAATGGGGAAATTCAGGCCTCCAGAGAGCCGTCCTGCCCACAAGCGAGACCTGGAATCTGCAAAAGTAGAACTATAGCAACCTTCAACTTTTTCCTTCTCCTTTTAAGATGCAAGTGAAAACTGTGATCAGGGACTCCACTTTCTACCAGAACCATCTCAGGCTGGTTGCATATAGGCCTTCCTTGGTAAGAATGAGGGAAAAGTGGAAAATCATGGGACGAATTAAATAATGCAGCAGCTCAAAAGAATCAGATCGAGCTGGAGAAGTATCTCCACCAAACACAGGATGACAGTAAGGAAAAGGAGAAAACCTTAACCATCAATGAAATTCAAGATAACATTGTATCAATATAACAGGGGCCAACAGCTATGGAAATGAATAATATGAGAAAAGTAGAAGGTTATTAGAAATGGAAAAGATTTTTGTTGAATTTCACCACACAGTAGAAATAATAAACTACAGTTTAAAGAGTATAAGAAATAAATTCACATAACAGGAATTCTAGAAGGAGAAGCAATCAATATAGAAATAATAGAAGAAAATTTTTCTCATTTGAAGGAAGGCTTGAGTAGTCCACTTATAAGAGCTCAAAGGGGATAAGGCAAAATTAATGAAGAGCCCCACCCAGACCTTTCCTAGAGACAAAGGATAAGGAACCCAGTGGCCCTTAAGGAGATGACAGTTAATGACAGAAGCTGCAGAATAATATCTAAGGCTATAAAAGGGAAAACATTGTAACCCAGGGATTCTTCATTCATCCCAGCTATTGACCACGTGATATAAACACAGAAAACCATTCCCAGAAATACAAGGATGAAGTAGTTTCCCACTCATGTATCTTTCTGGAAAAAATTACTTATGGAAATATTCCCACCATTTGAGAAGGGGGAATAGATGATGTGATAACAAAGAAATGATGGTAAACTATAAAGCCAATAAAATACAGAGTTTGGGTTAAAGTGTTGTTAAAATAGTTATACGACAATGTAAATGTTGAAAGTAATTTTCAAAACAAAAGATAGAAAATATAAACATCAGTCTCAGATATCACAAAAACAGGGATGAAGAAAGCCTGGAAGAAAGCAATGGAAAAGTGTGCTACAAGTCTGTCTTTTGCAAGGGGAGTCATTAGTTACTGTTTCATTCTTGACATTGATGGGGAAATACAGATTCTGTTGTGATCTGGATTGAGATGGAAGATAAAAAAAGACCCTCAAAATTGCCCTCTCTAACACCTAACAATTAGCAAAAAATGAATTAAAAAAATACAAGCCCCCAAATGTTAATATCACTCAAACAAGGAAAGGGGCATAGTTTAGAGCAAAAACTAAAACTGTTGATCAAAGAAATAAATCAGATATTCTAGAGCTGAACAGGATGGTCAGCAAGGGGCAGCTCCTAATCCTGCCCTCCCACTCCCAGTTCTGGCAAGTCATCAAATCCCTGAAAATGCTTCCTAATATTCCCAAATCTTGAAAGAAGAAAATTGAGGGGAACTCCATCATTTTCCTCTTCTGATAGAGGAGCAACGAAAATGACGAGTAGGAGGAAAAGAAGAAAGACTAGAGGCTGACTCCCTCCAAGTGAAGGTTCTGGGGCTCTGCAGTCTAATGTTCCAGGAGGTGCCACCGTGGGACAAATGTACATCACTGCCAGCCCCAGCCAGGGGGAACGAAGCCCACATAGGACACTTGGCAGTCCTTCAAAACAGAAGGCCAATGAGGGTATAGCAACCAACCTTGGACTTCAGAAGAGTGGATGGAACACCAAAACCCAGACCTGACACTAATTTTGGAGAGGAGGGGACTAGGGTCAAATTTAGTGGGAAAAGAATCAAGGAGTAAACAAAACCCCACACCCCACCAAGTTAGAACAAACAGGAAGTCTGGCTAAAACGGACTCAACAAGAGCAATATAGAAAGAAATGATACAGAAACAACTCAGACCCACTTCAGAAGTTAATGAATATATAGCTTGAACTAGAGAAAGAGCCCAACTGTCATGAACTGCCTAGATTTCCCCTCAGGAGTAGAGACAGCTACAGGAAGCCCTCTCTTGCAAGTCATGCTCCTTTCCCAGGCTGCTCACCATGGGGTTATTAAGGCCCGCCCCTCAGCACCCTCAGGGGACGGCTGTCAAGGGCCCCCCCAGTTCCAGAGCTCCCTAGTAGGTTGACTGAGGCATTGTAACTGCCTTGCAGCTCTACTTCTCCCTCTGCCCAATCCCCTCATTATCACTTTCCTTCCACAGGTGTTGATCTAAGGCACCCTACCTGTGAGACCATCTTAGAAGAAAATATAACTCAAGGAGCAGAAGGAAAGTCGTCAATGGCCTCAAGCTATAGAATGACTTAGCAAGGACATGCATTTACTAGAGCAAGACTCAAAGATGAAATGGTAAATAACAGAATAAGATGGAAAGAGAGAACCAGACCTAGATAAACAAATTGAGAACCCAAACAACATAAATTCAGGGTGAGTGAATAACTTAGAAATAGCAAAGAACAGAATGGATGCTGCTAAACGGGATGACTGTCCTAGAAGAAAGATTGGTGATAATCCCAGTGAATACAGATGAGAGTAATTTGAAAGGAACTAGTAGATGTGGAAGACAAAGACGCTCCAGGATGAAGAACTGCTCGCAAGGTAGCAGGACCCAACAAAGAGGGTGGAAGATGAATCCCATGCAAGAGAGTTCCCTGAAATGCAAAGAAGTCTAATCCAAGAAGTTTGTATTCCAGGAAATTCTGATGTGGAATTCTTGACACAAAGACAGGTCCTCGTTAAGCCATTGATCTCAAGGATAAACTTGGTCCAGGCACCCGGGCAGAAGAAACAAATTGCTTACAAGGGCAAGAAATAGCAGGTTGGCCTCTGGCTTCCCACAGTCATCATCAATGCTTGGGGACAATGGAGCAAGGCAGAGGAAGCTTATTCTGAGGGAAAGAAGACAAACCCAAGAATATGACACCCACTGTCATTCAAGTATGAAGGACACGAGGAGATAATCCCAAACAGGGAAGAACTCAGTGATTAAAACACCCATAAACCCTCCTTGAAAACACTGCTAGGTAAAGAAATGGCACTGATGAAGAGATTAATAGAAATAAGCAGTTCAGAAATGGAGACGCTGTGGTTATATTTGCTAAGGGTAAGTGTAGACTCTATCAAAATATAGAACTACAACTAAACACCTGGGAACTACAGTGACAGCAGCAATCTGGACAGTGTAAAGAAGAAGGGGACGGGAGATGGAACACAGCTCGAGAGTGCTAACGTTTGTCTTTCAAATCACAGAGACAACAGGTATCCACTGAAAGTAGGTCCAGTGATGCCGGCCTCCTAAATGTTTCTTCATAGCCTTGGCTCTACTCAGAGCCTTCTTTAAGAAAGAAGTCTTTCGTGGTGAAGAAATACCTACCTGAAGTTCAAGAAGTCCACTTCATATTTTTTTGTAAGTGTAAATAAAACTACAATCAGAACTTTTAAAAATTAGGAGTAGCACCTGTAATACTCTCCCATTTAATAACAGTGCATCTAAATTGGTGCCCCTGTCTGGCCAGTCTTCCCACCCTCTATGCAGCCTGCATGCACGTCACGATCCCTGGACTGAGTGAATGCTGGTAGTTTTGGGGTGGTGGAAATTTTTTAAAATGTCTGTTTTGTTAATATTTTTCTGCATTGTTTTAATGCTTTATGATGAGTGTATGTTAGTTTTATAAAAATCAATGGCAATGATTCTTAAAAAGGTAGGAGCAAACAAATATGTTAACTGCTAATTCTACGCAATAAGGATATTGTCTTTTTTTACTTTCTTGTATATTTTCAATGTTCCAGAATGCATTTCTAAATAAACATTATATATACTTATACATACATACACAGATTTATAAACACCCCAGCAGAATAAATTAAGATATATAATTTTCAGATAATCAGAGGAAAAATGAATGAATAAAGCTTGATCAGTATGGCGAAAAGCAGGAAAGTAAAACAGAAGAGTAAGGAAGCCCAAAAAATCAGACGGCAGCCCAGGAGCCCCGCCCCTGTGTTCTGAAAGGCTGCTTGCTCTCAGGTTTGCAATGTTTTAGGAAGATCAACTAATTTTATTTTCATTAATTGAGTAGTTATTTCACTATTAAATATTTTACTGCTTTTAGGCACTATGCTAAGACCTCTTCTAATGTGGCTCTTGGAAGGACTAATTACCCCATTTTGAACGTGAGAAGAGTGAAGTCCAGATGGGGCAGAAACCAGCCTCAATGGCAGAACCGAGGTTGAGCCCAGGTGGGGCTGCCTTCCCTCAACCCCGCTCAACGGCCCCACCTCCCACCGCAGCAGGGCCTAAGCAAGGGCAGCAAACGTCAAGCAGGCAGGGAGCGCACGGAGTAGAGGAAAGAAGTACTCACTGGGGGTGAAGTGGGCTCTGGTTCCTGCTCCCCGGGGACACACTCTCCTAGGTCAGAGGACAGGGCACAGAGGTAAGGAGGAGGACCACGCTTGGGGAGCATCCTACACCAGGGAGGACTTAGCTTCTTCCGTATGGCTGCCCACGTGCCAGGTGGGCATCGCACTGAGAACTGTCTGTCTCGCGCATTAGCCTCTTGACGAGTGGCTCCGCCTGCATGCTTTGCTGAAGGTCATTCATCGGCAAAGCTACAGGCTGGTGGCTGCACCGTCATCACCATCAGCGTCATCTCCACCCCCCCACCAGCATTTCATCGGCACCATCACAGGACAGCAGTGGCTAACATTTGTTGAGCACTTACGAGACACCAGGCAGAACATTATTTTATTTAACAGCTTTATCTCCTCAAAGCAGCTTATAAGGGAGACATTATTATCCTCATTTTACAGATGAGGAAAATAATCAGCCAGAAGCCAGCCACCCAGCTCAATGTGAACCCAGGTGCCCTAACCCTAGAGGCCATGCCCTTCACCCTAACACTCTGTGACCTCCTTAGAGGTACCTATGGATTCTGGATATAACTTCACTTAGACTCATAGCAGTAGAGTGAACATTGAATTCGTTCTAGTCCAGGCTCTGCCAGCCAGTTTCATGCTACGTGACGTGGAGTAAATCCAGGGGCCCCAGGTACCTTCTCTGTAAAGAAGGGGCGGGGGACTGTAGCTCAGCTTATCTCGGAGGGTTATAAGGAAGACCCAAGAGCGAGGAAGATGTTCCCTGGGGGCCATGAAGGTTGAGGAGGAGACAGAGTGTGAGGTGGGGGGCGGGCACCGTTTACCTCTGTTGGTCAATGTGAAGATGGAGTCCTCAGGGATGCCCAAGCCCAGGGCAACCTCCCTGAACTCCTCCAGCAGGTCTTCCCGAAGCTGCGGCTCCCGCCCTGCAAGTAAGGAGCAGAGAAGATACCTAGAACCTTGGGTTAGAACCTGAAACCTGGAACCTGGGTTGGCAGGACCTGAGGTTATTTTGCCCAGTGATTTTCATTTAGGGAAAGTTTGAAACTATTGGCCCAATTTGATCTCCTCAATGCATTTATGTAAAGATCAGCTCCAGAAAACGAAGGAGTGTCCCTCCCAAGCCCCCACCCAGGTCTTCTGAATCCCCACACAGGGCTGGCTCTTGCCTGGGTTCCTTTAAGGGCTTTGGAATTCTCTGGGTCTGGAATTTTAGAGATCAAAAGAAGAGGATTCTGCCTAAAATGGGAGACTGAGCTCTTCCTCCTGCAGAGAGTAAATGTTCTCACTTTTCCTGTAACTGAAGTTTTATCAGAAGGAGAAAAAAAACTCCCTGTTCCTCCCTCGTCTACTGTACTGTCCCTAAATCACGGGTCTCCTCCCACCCTCAGCTCCAGTGAGCTTATTTAGTGCCAGGCCTTTACCGTAGAGTTTGGCGGTAATAGTGGGTCCGTGGTGGCGGCTGAGTTTCTTGGTCAGAATAATGGCATACTCATCATAGTTGGTATGGACCACATAGGACTCTATGGTGATGTTCCATTCTGCATGGGAGATGCGGGAAGACAAAGGACTCAGTGGTCAGAGGACTCTTCTAGCCTGAGATCCTTCACCTATTCACCCACACATCATCTATTCAGCCACCCCGTGTACCCATCCCTTCTGTATACTCATTTATCTATTCACCTATGTATATCCTCCAAAGAGTCATCATTCATTCATCCACCATCATTCTATCCATCTACCTTCTCCATAGGCCAGTCCAGAAACTTATCCATTTTCCTTCTTCCCTCCCTCCTCCTTTTTCCTCCATCTATTAAATAATCAATTTATCTAATAGGTGATTAATTAACTCACTTATCTGCCATCCATACATATGTATATTCATTTACCAAACATTTGTTTATTCTCTCATTTATCCAACCACCCATCTACCCAAATATTCATACATTCAACCCCTAACACAATTATTTGATACATAGAGCATACTCAATAAACATTTGCTAGATAAATGAATAAATTCATGTCCAAGTTCCTCTGTCACTTAGCACCATGCACATTGTACATGGTAGATGCTTCGCACATTTTTATCAGCTGATTGTAGATGCCTAACATGAAGACTGGTGAAATCTCGATGTTACCCTCACATTCACACCACCACTCTAATTCTGGATGTGCACGCACATGAGAGAGAGAGAGAGAAGGAGGAGGAGGAGGAGGTGGAGGAGGAGAAAGAGGAAGAGGAGTAGGAGGAATTTTGGAGGGAGGCTAGGTGATGTCTCAGAAAAAGAGGAAAGGTTACCAGGGGAGAGAAAACTGAGACAGAGGAAGAGAGCTTAAGACATCGAGGTATTTTTTAGCAAAGGAGAGAACTGCAGGTGTCTCCTTTGACTCAACTTACTGGATTTGTGGTAGCGGAACTTTCCATCGGTGTCTGTTTTCTCAAAAATCCCAGAGATCTCCTCACAGACACCTTTCCTGGAAATGAGCACATTTTTAAGAAAGGTAAATTCTGGTGGAGACCGTGGTCCTGACACACCCCTGCTCCTCCCACGCCCTTCCCAAGTGTGTTGTTTTTTGTTTTTTTTTTTAATTTGGAAAGTAACATTTTCAAATTCTTGTTTAATCCTTACACCAGCCCTAGGAGACACCCATTTCACATACAAGAGGACAGGCAGACAGAGAAGAAAAGGACTAATCTATGCCACCTCTTGGCAAAGCCCGTACTAAAAATCAGCTCCCTTAACCAAATCTGTACATTGTACTGATGCACTGGGAAGTCAGAGTGACGAATTACTGCGTGCATTTATTACTCTGTGTCTCTCTTGCCCCAGTCCCTTTATCTGTGAAATGGGGGTAATGACGGTTTCTATCCTTCACTGTGGCTGGGAGGATCAAAGGAGATTCATATGTAAAGAGCTTGGAGTAAGTGCTATGCACATCTTAGCTCCTGCTGCTACGATGGTTGTTACTTATTGAGCAGCATCTATGTGCCATGCACTGCACTATGTGCTAGGGATACAGAGGAGGGCAAGGCAGCCCCTGTGCCCATAAGCAGCTTACAGTTAAGTGGGACAAGTGGGCAGGTGTGAGGTGCTCCAAGAGCACAAAGGAAGGCATGTAACCTGAACCTGCGGGGCTCAGGGAGGACTTCCTGTTTCCTAGAGGAAGGGACATAGAACCTGAGTCCTGAAGGATCCCTAGAAGTTAGCCCTAGGAGGTGGGGAGAGGTTTCCCCAATAGATGGAACATATGGTGCAAAGGCCAAGAGGTACAGGAGGATTAAGGATTCTGGGAACTGAAAGCAGGCCCACATGGGTGGGTTGCAGAGTACACAGAGAGAGAGGGGAGAGAAGGGTGAGTGGGGGGAGGGGCCTGGAAGGCCACGTCAAAGGGGTTGAATTTATTCCCAAGAGCAATAGGGAGGGAGTATGGAAAGGTTTAGGCAGATTTAGGCAAGTTTCCGAACGGTCTTTCTGGTTGTTGGGTGAAGGATGGATTGAATGAAAGGTTTGAGATTAGACGTGGGGAGGGATGCAGAGAGGCTGTTGTAGACAACCAAGGGAAGGAAGGGAAGAGGCTTGGACCAAGGACGGCGGTGGGGAAGAGGGGAGAGGTGAACAGATTGGAGGGATTTTGGAAGAGAATGGACAAGGCTTGATGATGGGTTGAATGGCCCATGGCAGCAGAAAGAAGAGTTTAAGCCCCTCCTCTCCCACCCAGGCTTCCAGATTGGGTCCCGGGTGGGTCAAAGTGCCCTTACTGAGCTAAGGGATGTGCAGGAGCAACAGCAGATTGAGAAACAGGCATAGTGTTGGAGGCACTGTCCTGGACGTGCAGATGGGTTGATTAGGAAGGAAGCCCCGGGTCGGGAGAGCAAACTGCAGAGCAACCTGAAGCTCAGAGCCCAGGGCCTGGCTGGAAGGAGAGGTCTGTAACTTTGCAGGACGTGGTGGTGAGTGAAGCCAGGGTGGGTGCTGGTGGGCCCTGGTCCCTCCTGCCCCTCCCACCCCATCCCCAAGCTCACCGCCAACGAGTGCTGGTCGTGCTGATCTGTGTCTCTGTCTCTCCCTCTCTCAGCAGCAGTGTGCTCATGGTCAGCCTGTCCTTGAACCTCGCCAGCCACGGGCAGGTGGAGCCCATGGCCACGTGGAACCATTTTCCGTAGAACTAGGAGGCGGCCACAATGCGGAGGGTCTGGACTTGCCTCAGACCTCAAAGAAGACTTGGCAGAGGTCGGCTTCCCTCCCTCCTCTGAATGACTAATCCTTTTAAGTGATAACATCTTATAGCTAATTGGAGGCCACACAGCTTTAAGGGAGGATGGAGCCCTACTACCAGATCTTCAGGCATTGCGGCAAGCTTAGGAAGGAGGTGTTCAGGTGTGGTCCCACCTGCCCAGCAGAAGCCTTATTCTGTTGCAATCTGAGGTCTGTGCCAGTCACTTGGATGGGATCCAAATCCTTGTGCTCTAAAGTCATCACCAAACGATGCTCCTCAAGAGCAGGAGTCAGGGGACAGGGTGCTCACCACCTCACAAGCAGCCCACGGCCCCGTGTTAGAAAGTGTCTCCTGTCCTTGAGCTGACACAGGACAAGCCTGACGCCTCTTTCTCCTGACTGCACATTGGAGAGTTGAGAGGGCCCCCACGTCCCTGCAGACGGCCGGTGAGCCTGCATCCCTTCGCCATCACAGACCACCTCCAGGCCCTGCCTGTCACCATCTTTCCACCCACAGCCCTTCTTTGTCCCGGCAAGTGAGTAATCCACAGGGTGCCACAGCGAGGGCCTGAGAGCCCCCCATACCGATGTGCGGACTGAGCCCTGGGTGGGCAAGGTTCTGTCCCAGGTCACCCAGTGATTCAGGCAGAGCCGGCGCTGGAAGGAAGTCCTAGGACTCCCCACACACAGCGCCCTTATTCCCACCAGCCCCGATCTCTGGCCTGCTTCTCTTCTCCCCAAAACTCCACACGCCTGCCCTGTGCCACCCAGGCCTGGGAGGGCCGAGGACCCAGGACGGGCTAACAGAGATGCTGTGGGATGAGGTGAGCGGTTGAAGGGTGAGCACTGGGGTGGGGTGGGCGGGAAGTTTTCGGAAAAGCAAGGCATGGCGGGGTGGGGGTGGGGGTGGCCTCAGGGGCAGCAGTCAGCACAAAGCCTGCTCCGGGGTGGGTTCTAATCGAAGTATAGGTTCCCCTTGGAACCTGACAGGACAGGTTTGAAGGTGAGGGGACTTGACTGGGGACATCAGACAGGGATCCCACGGAATGGCAGGTGCATTGAGTTGTGGCTTCCACAAATCCCAGATGGTCATTTGAGCTGGAAAGGCCTTTAGGGACCCACCCCTGGAGTTCCACGTGGGGAGAATGACTTGCCCCCCAGCAAGGCCCAGTGGCTCAGACGCTGCCGTCACCCCAGAGAGGCCAGCCTTACCCTGGTTATGCTGAAGTTCTCCTGCACTTGGATGTCATCTGGTGGTGTGGGCACAGGGTTGGCAGTGACCCCTAGGCAGGCAGTCAGCAGCAGCAGGGCCCCGATAATCCGCATGGCCAGGTCCTCTACCTACGGGGTCCCTCGGGGGCTCAGTCTGGGGACAGAGGAGCTCCCTGCCTGAGACAGCTGCAAACTGAAGCTGGGGAAGGGGTCAGTGGGTTGTAGGTGACTTTGGTGTTTGCCCTCCTCAGATAGGACCAATCAGGGCCTCAAGGCCAGGTCTGATCGATCCCTCGTAGTGCCCTGGCTGGGGTCAGTGGTCCGAAGGGGCCAGGGCGTCTGTTTCAGAGGAGGCGTTGGCCAAACACAACCGGGCCCAGATGCGGCCTAGGCTGCATTGGCCCCCAGCAAGGCTTTCCCAGAGACTCCCGCCCGTCAGCGGGTGTGCGGGGGTGCAGGGCACACACAGCCCTGACCTTTCCTGCTGAGTCATTGCATCTAGACCTCACACTCCTGTGAATCAGGAGGACAAGTCTGACAGGGCCCATTTCTCACACGAGAAAACTGAGGCACAAGGAGAGGAAGTGACTTATCAGAGACCACAGGGAAGTCTATGATATCTTGTGTGCAGTGTTCCGCCTCTCACCACGGGTCTCCCACGGCCCCAGCAAATCGCAGTAGAAATAACAGTGGTGACGACTGCACTGGGCACCTGCTATGCGCCAGCTGTGCTCCAGCACTTAGCACTTCCCCGCAACTGTCCCGCAACCCACTGGTGTCCCCCTTACAGGAAACTGGAGTCTCCAAAAGGTAAATGACGTGCCCAGGGTCTCAGCTGGGGTGAGTGGCTTTGCTGGCAGGAGGCAGTGTTTGGCGTGGTTGAGAGCGTGGGCCCAGGAGCCAGACTGCCTTCTGCGCCGCTCACCGGCTGTGTGGCCACGGCGGGTGAATTTCCCTCTCAGTGCCTCCATTTCTTTATCTGTAAATGGGGATAATACTAGTTCCAGAGCGCTGTTGTGAGGACAGAATCTGGCACATAGTAGGAGCTGAATACGCTTGAAGCAGGTTGCGTCGTGTCCCCCAAACTCATGTGCACATGGAACCTCAGTGCATGACCTCATTTGTACATGTAGTTAGTGAAAATGGGGTCATCCTGGATGAGGGCAGGCTCTAAATCCAATGACTGGTGTCTTTCTAGGAGAAAAGGGAGGGAGACTCAGACAGAGACACAGAGACACACAGGTGAAGACGGAGGCAGAGATTGGAGTGAGGCAGCTGCAGGTCAAGGCCAAGGACTGCTGGCAGCCACCAGAAGCTGGGGAGAGGCCAGGGAGGATTCTTCCCTACACCCTTCAGGAGAGGCACGGCTGTGCTGACAACTTAGGGCCGGACTTCTAACCCCCAGAATAAATTTCTGTTGTTTTAAGCCACCCAATTTGTGGTACTTTGTTAACGGCAGCCTTGGGAAACTATATGGTATTCATTAAATTAAAAAATTGGAATGAAAATATTTTAAAACCTAGGTCTGTTTGTCTCCAGAGCTCAAACTCTTGCTCAGGATGCTGCAGGCCCTCTGTTTGAAGTGCTGTTCTCTGGTGGTCAAAGCTGCTGACCTTACTTCTTCCTTGCTCTTGGCATGGAACATTCCAGACACACAGCAGCCTCCCTACTATGGTTGGGAATGACCCCTTCAGACAGATGGTTCCATAAGCAAGACACCTGCTCTTGTGAGAATCCAGCCTCCCCCACACACAGTGGTACCAACAAACGGTGTGTTAGAGCCACCCAATACATTGGTCTTCCACCAGTATCAGGGACAGTGTGTCTATTCATCATAAGTGAGCGCGTTTCCTTTGCTCCAACACTGCCAGCTTGGCTACTGATGGCATCTCCTTTTTGCTTTGGCTGCCAGGAAGCTCAAAGCCATGTTACAAGTTCAACCACAGCAATCATGCTGGCTTATATTTTGGGGACAATTATCTTCCCTCTTGTTTACAAAGTCTTTTACAGTTTGGTTAGTGGTGGTAGTGAGGAGGCAGTGTGGATTAAGGGAGGGCAAAAAAGTGGGAGCCGGAAGCCCTGGCTTCTTGTTCTGTGTGATTTTGGGGTGACTTTCTCTCTCTCTGAAGCCCGCTTTCCTCATCTGGAAGATAACGGTCCCTATTCTGTCTGCCAAGGGGTTAAGTGAGGCCGTGAGTGCGACAGTCTTACCCGACAGTCTTACCCGTGTGATAGACTCAGGGTGTGTCTATCTTTGGAGAAACCAGGCCTGGTATAAGAATGAAAACATAACAATGAGTCATTAATAGGATTGGAGCGCCCTATTAAGGTTGCCTACAGCGTTCCACGAGGGCCTCTGATCTTCACGGCATTATTAGGCTTCATGGGAAGCCCAAGGCACATGGGCTGAAGAATAGTCTGGGCCTCTTTGGACAGGGCTGCTCATCCAGCCACACAGCCTCTCCTGGGGGAGGGGAGAGGCTAGACCAGGATGTTGATTTCTTCTCCTGCCTCCAGGGATGTTTGCTCTCCCGAGATTATTAACTAGCACAAACAGAGGGAGCAAACTCTGCCAAGACCCACTGGACTTTGAGCTGTTTTTTAAAAATTAACCTCGGGAGGGAGGCAAAGATGCCCGGCAGGCAGTGTGGTCAGGAGGGTGGGGGGATGGAGGCTCTGAGGCCCCTGCCCTCCCAGGGCATCCGGGAAGCCAGGAGGCCACAGGAACGGGCCAGGTTCCGGAACCATTTGGAGGGGAGGGGGAAGGGCCTGCCCCGTACAGGAGGCCTCGGAGCCTGAGAGGAGCCCTGGGCAGTGGGGAAGAGAAGCCTCCTTTTCAGATGAAAACATGGGCTCAGGGAAGGAACGGGGCTTGTGCAAGGTCATCCAGCTTGTGGCTGAGCTGGGGCCAGATCAGCCTGACTTCCAACACCCTGCTTCTCCCCATCACTTATTCATTCGTCCACTCACTCCTCCACCAGATACACACTGGGTTCGAGTCGGTGAGGATAGGATGGAGAACGTGGCAGGACTCTCAGAGCTCACTCCTGGGCAGGTGGGAGCACGGAGGGAGGAGAAGATGATTAGACAGAATGGCGACTGCAGGGATGGGGGAAGCCGAGGCCAGGGGATGGGAGTCTAACCCGATGAGGGGGAGTTAGCCAGATAGAAGCGCATGGAGTGCGTGGGGGGAGAGGGCATTCCAGACAGAAGGAACAAGTACAAAGGCTTGGAGGAAGAAGACGGGGGCGGGGGCGGGGGCGGGGGGCGTTGCGGAGAAAGAGAGAGAAATGCATTTGGAATATAAGAATCAAACCAACCAAAAATCACAGGTCTGGAGCTTGGGGTTTGGGGGTCAGAGGGGTGTGGCAAGATGAGGCTGTGGGTGTGGCTGAAGCCCGGCAGTTAGGACTGTGATACGAGGCCAAGGGGCTTGCTCTTGCTCGCTGTCTGGAGCGTACAGGGAGCACGAGCAGGTTCTCAGAAGTGAGTGGCCATTCAGATTCGTAATCAGAAAAGATCAATGAGGAGGCAGTGGAAGTGGGAAGCCCAAGAAAGCAACTCCCTAGGAGATTTCCAAGAAGAAGGAAGGAGCTGGGGCACTGGGGACCTGGTGACTAGACCAGCAGGGACATCAAGGACATTGCATTGGGCAGAACTCAGACCAAAGGGTGTGGTTAAGGTTCAGGCTTTTCTCTGCTGATGGTGGAGGGGGATGGCAGGGTGACCTTCTTTCCCCCATGAGGCAGTGTCTAGCTGCAGGCTTTGCCCCAAATGCCTGACTCTTCCCCCCGCTCCCTTGGTCTTGGAGCCAAAGCCTGTCCGTTCACGGCCAAGCTGGCGGTGAGCAGCACTCAGCACTCCATGACCAGTGATGGGAGAGATGTCCTCACTGCCCTGTGATTTCTAGGCTTTGGCGCTCATTCCCCATCCATGTTCCAAAGAGACAGGCCCTTCAGAGACTTAGGTCCCAGGTCTTATACCTTGCTAGGTGACCGTGGGGCTGGCCTTCCCTTTTGGCCTTGCCTTCCTCATCTAGACTCCAAACGAGGGCAATAATAACTCACTTGACACGGCTAAATAAGAACCAGATGAGGGACATTTGTGAAAATGCTCCCCAGGGTACACACTGGAGGGACTGATGTCCTCCCAGGTACTTAGCACAGCTTGTGGTACCAGGCAAGCTCCATAGAGGCTGCAGAAAGGTGTGAGCATCCCATGTCCATTAGAGGGCAGCAGAGGACTTCTAGAAAGATCACAGGTTTGCTCACAGATGCACAGTACAGACCAGGAGCCAGAGGCTAAGGCAAAGGCCCATAGAACGGTTCTGACAGGAGACCTCCTCGCCCGCTGTACCCTGCTTAAAATGGCGAGTGTAAAACAGCCAGCTTCTACCTTGTCATCCCCAACCCGGCCACAGAGCTGGATGCTTACCGGGGGCCCCTTTAAATAGAGTTCCCCGGGAGAACCTCCTGCTGAGCCAGAATTGGGCCCCCGCTTGCTGTACACCACAGGTTGCTGTAATCTGAATGATCACTTGATTAAGGTCCTACCATGTGTGATGTGCCAGCCCCGTGCTGAACACTCCACAAGCACGTCCCCTTATGGGATCCTCCCATCAAGGTCCTATCATTTTACTACGATGGCCGTTGTATTTTGCAGATGGGGAGACTGAGGCTGAGTGACCAGGTGATCCAGTGTCAAAGCGCCCAGCCAGCGAGTAGCGATTCAAACCCAGATCTGTCTCCCTAATACCCAAGTCTCCCTAACACCCAGACCCTGTTCCTGATAAACAGCAGGACCGTGGGCCATGTACTTCCAGAGACCTGGGGCAGCGGGTGGGCCGTTCCCCTTCACGGACTCCTCGCAGCCGGAGTCAGGCTTACGTGAGTCTGGCTCTCCCTTCCCTGGCCAAGAGCATGCTCAATGTCTGCCACCCTGAAATCTGATGCTTCTCTTCCTCTTCAGGGCCTATCCCTGTGCTGGGCACTTAGTAGGTGCTCAGTAGAACACATGCTAATTGACTTAGTTAGAACTGTGAGGTCAGACACCAATAGGGACCACCCAACTATAAGACAGCTGAGGGCAACTGGGAGGTTGACTCCTCCCCAAGTCCTTGATAATGATCAGTGAGTGACAGATACAACGAATGGCGTGCTTTAAAAAGCAAAGAGCCCTTGTTCTGGTTGGCTTTTCCTTGTGTCATTTATTTTGAATTGGTCTGTGTCTCTGGGAGGATCCCCAAGCCTTCGTCCCCCAGAGTG